CCCCAAATGTTATCTTCTATACAACAGCACTGTGCAGAGAGATGCTTCATCCCACCCAGATCCATAGCCACCTCTGCAAACATTTCACGCATACCTACGATTTCACGCATACCTATGACTTAAGAGACAAGGAGCTCCTAACCACCAGCGTGACTTGTCACTCGGACAGCCCATTTCTTGGCCACACTGTACACTGCCAATGGAGACATGCCAGCAGTTTCCCATGCACACTGGCATTAGAGAAAAGGTCTATGTGATGGTGGTGGCAGATGCTATTATTTTAATATATAGGTAACTGAAAGCCTGTTTTAAAAAAGAACGAATTGCTCTCTGTCCTAGTTAGCTTAAATGGTCAACTTGACACAGACTATGGCCGTTTGATAGGAAGGCTAGGTCTGATTGGCCTGTGGGCATGTCTGGGGGGAGTGTCCTGATTGTTAATTGGTGTGGGAGAGTCAAGCCCAAAGTGGGCAGCACCAGCCCTAGGCAAGTGGTCCTGGATTATATAAGAAAGCTAACTAAGAGTGAGGCAGTGAGCAAGCAACCTGTGAAACTAAACAACTGGACCTTTCCTTCTACACATCGTTGGGCTTCTACAGCTTCTTGGAGCAGTGCTCTGGAAAAGCGCCACCATGTGGACAAAATCGGAGTGACTTTTCCTCATGGGTTCAATGCTAATTTCCTATGATGAAGAGCCAAAGAGTTGGTCAGGAGAGATGCCCAGAGCTGTGAGTTTCCCCGAGTGTGAGTGTTGGGGTCAGGGAAACCCTCGGAACTTGCAGAGGTAGACAGAAGAGTCTTCAGATGTCACTGCCGAAGCCTTACCCCACTGCAGCCTAGGGCAGGGAGGGACTTTTGCACGGTTGGTTAGTTTTCCTAAGTATAATTATCATTTATAAACAAAAAGGTAGCTTTGGCCCACAGTTCTGTAGTCTGGCAGTCGTGGAGCATGTTGCTGTCATCTTCTCTGCTCTGGAGAGGGCCTACTGCTACTTCAAAACCTAAGGCAGAAGGAACCTGAGTGACAGAGACACACCGCCAGGGGACTTGTGTTACTTTCATGTTTTTGATAATTGAGATGGAGTCTCATGTAGCCCAGGCTGTCCTAGAACTCACTATGTAGCCAAGGATGCCCTTGAACTCCAAATCCTCCCATCTCCTCCTTCCAAGCGTTGAGGTTACATACCTGAGCCAACACGTCTTGTTTCTACAGTGCTGGTGAAGGAACCTGGTGCCTGGTGTACATTGGACAGTTATTCTACCACCTGAGCTACATCCCCAGCCAGGGACACATTTATAACAACCAGCTATGGCAGGAACTACCCTAGTCCTGTGCAATAAAAACTCTCTTGAGAAAGATAGTCATTGGTCACCCCCTACCTCCCTCATCACCTTCCACTCCCACCCCTACAACAATGGCAAAATTCACCAAGTTTTGGAGCTACTGAGCCAGATTCGAGCCACACAGCTCTTAGGGAAGAGTGGGGTTGAAGGCCCAGGTTTCTAGTTCTCCCTGCCCAGGCTTCCCTCTTTGCTCTGTCCCTGCATGCCTCTAGTTTGAGTGACTCTCTTGATGCTCTACAAGCAGCCTTCAAATGACTTCTGACCCCGCTTCTCCCCATGCAGCCCCGTCACAGGGCTTCCCCAGTCCATCTGTGCAGTTGTTTATCCATCATTCTCCATGTCTTGAGTGGGTGAAGGTGTAAAACTCTGCCCTCTCTTGAGGGAGGAGGGCCTTGTGCAAGATGGGCTCCTGACCTATCCAGAAAGGAACATGCTAGATTTAGCAAGCATTTAGCCCCAAGGACCAACATAGTTCACAGTACAGAGCACTTTGTGATATTTGTAACACAAATGAGTGTCTGAATGAGCAAGGAAACAAGAGTCTGGCTATACCACCTCAATGGCTTTTTGAGAGCTGAGCCTTCTCAGGACAGTCTGGAAGGATCAACTTCTTCCAGATTTTGAATGCCCAGCTGGGAGGTTGGGTTTTAATTACTTATTTGGTTCCCAGATCTGTTTGTGAAGGAATGTGAGCCAACTATAAATTCTTTCTCAAAAAGAGAAAAGCAGTCTTTAGTCAAGGGTCATTCCCAAGCCCAGAAACACTTAGTGTCACCAGGTCTCCCAGATACTAGAGTTCATTTGTTCCTGAATTTAATAATTAGGCCATACTTCTACAGAAGGAATAGAGGTTCTCCTATGACAGGCTCCTGACTCTCAGGAAGCAAATGCAGTCATTGTGACATACTGTTCCTTCTGTGGCTTCACTAACACTCTGTACCCCAATAGGCACAGGGATCAAAGATAGTGACTTCTCTGCTGGGTCCTGGTGAATTCCATCAATGCTGTCTCCTCACTCTGCCCTTGGCAGCATCCCTCTACTGAGATCTCCAGCTGAGTGCCACAGTGCTCTTCCCTATACAGTAGTTTGGCTTTTTAAAAATTTATTTTATTTTTTTGAGACAGGGTTTCCCTGTGTAGCTTTGGAGCTATCCTGGAATTAGCTCTTGTAGACCAGGCTGGTCTCTAACTCACAGAGATCCACCTGCCTCTGACTCCCAAGTGCTGGGATTAAAGACGTGCACCACCACTGCCCAGCTTTGTTTTTTGTTTTGTTTTTTTAATCTAGAACCTGTACAAACTGCTGGTCAGTAGTGGTGCATGCCTTTAATCCCAGCACTCAAGAGGCAGAGGCAGGTGAATCTCTATGAGTTTGAGGCCAGCCTGGTCTACAGAGCAAGTTCCAGGACAGAGAGATAGCTTGTCTCAAAAAAACAAAAACAAAAACAAAAACAAAAACAAAACACCCCCCAAAGAACCTGTAAAAACTTAGATATCCCAAAGCTGGGTAGAGGAATCAGTGTACATTGCATAGAAGAAATAGTATTCATGAAGGCTCATGTAGGCCGGCATTCTGGAGAGAAATCATCCATGGGAATATCTTAGATACATCTCAACTTCTAGGTTTGGATTCAACATTGAATCTTCAGAAAAAGCAAGAAAGCCTGAAGGGGTGTGGAAAGAATAGGACCACAGGGCTCATGCCAGCCCCTCAGACATGGCACCTTGTTATTACAGATGAAATCTCCCTGAACTTACTTGTTTAAGAATAGATGTCTTGGCTTTTCTACATTAGTGTCTGCCTTCCCATCACCCCGTGTTCCAGAGACAGTTCAACAATGGCCTTTTCTTCAGGCTGTGAGGAGAATGGTAAAGGTCATCTGAGAGGAGAATGCAGCCACTTGCTGCATCCTGACCAGGAACCAGGAGGACCTGCAGTGGGCACCTCCAGAAGAGATGGGCTCTACGCGCCTACCAGAGAGCTGTGGTCCTTGCCGTTGAGCCTCTGGACACACACACTGGAGAACTGCCATTCCAGAGAAGCAGCAGCCGGCTTCCAGGCAGTGCTTCCCATGCCTCTCTGTTTGCAGGAACCTGGAAGAAAGCTGAGTTGCCCTGGGCCCTCCTGTGTTCTATCTTTCTTTCAAGACCATCTTGACAGCCAGCATTTTCGGAGCCTCTTCTGCACCTCAAACATTGTGCTGATTCAGATCTGGTCATGTGGCTGAACCACTACAATCAGTCAGGAGCCCTGGGACTTGGTCACCATTATCTGTCATGACTAGGTGTTCAGCTGGTCGGTGCTCTCTGAGTGTCAGTCACTCTCCTTACATGTTTGGTATCTTAGCTCATTTGAGCCTCAAGTGTCCATAACCCAGGTGCAGCTCATCTTCAGATGGGCTCAGCGGACAGACACTGTGACTTACTTAGTAACAGGTTTCTTAACAGGAGAGCTGACTCCCAAAACTACACTCCAAAACCCTGCACCCACCAGCGTCCCACACATTCGGAAGGCTGTATACAGGAGATGAATGTGCCCAAGCCAAGAAGATGGCATGGCAGGACTGGGTAAGGATGTTTCAGGCAGTGGTAGAGAGATCAAGTGCGTGATACCATTGTCTGGGGCATCAGTGACAATGGTGACCATTGCTCACTGCCTCCCCTCCCACCATAGCCAATGAGACTGTTGGGGTAGGCTCTGAGCTCAGACGCATGAGCTCCTGTTACTCAGGATGCGACCTTCTTTGGAGACCGTGCCTTTAAGTCATTAAGCTAACCTGAAGCCTTAACTCTTAAAATAGGAGACTTGGGCCTTCAGGTGCTGACAACACCCTCTGTACTCCAGGAAGGATTAGAGAGGGTCAAGTGAACCGCTGAGACAGATCAGTCCCGTGTGTCATAGTCTGCTTACTTTGGGAGCTGGTTGGTGGCCTTAAAGAAAGTGTGGTAGAGGGAGCCTTTCTGCATCCACCCTTAAGAATCCTTGTTGGGTATTTGTTCCTAGATACCAATGTGGCTGGAGCCTGGCTTGGTGGGGGAGAGCCACTAAGTAGCAGCCTTACTTTCTGCCCCAGGAATGGGAGGCCCAGGGATGGTACAGCTAGCAGGCCGGGGGTTTCTGTTTTGAACTTGTCCCTGCTCATTTCTCCAAGCAAAAGGCTGGCTGCCAGTGCCCAGGGAAAACCTCTAAGCCAGCCAGCGGTCCTGGTTTATGGCCTGGAGGCAGAGTCCTAGTTTATTACCTATAATAAATTTTTATAGCTACCCAATGGCACACAGCTGCCCAGCAAAGTCTCCACATACAGTGGGAGGTGGGTGGTCCTGGGACCACAGCTGGGGCAGTGGAGAGGGGTGAAAGGGACAGCAGCGAGGCCCAGGAGGAGGCAATGGAAGAGAGGTGCCCAATCTCGTAGAATGAGGAGCAGAGCAGCAAGCAGTGTTGTGAAACCAGGAAGAGAGGGCTGCTGCCTGATTTCACTCCCAGGTAAATGTTTGACTGGATGTTTGCCTTTTCTCTGAGTTTTGGGTCTACAGATCGAACTGAGCAGAACACTAGTTCATGGGAAGCCATCATAACCAAGAGCCCGAGAGACATTGAAGCACCGGGGGCTGCAGCATCCACCCACACACCACCTGCAGCAGCACTCTTCAGCAAGATGCTTGCAGCCAGCACAAGGTGAGAGGCAGAGGCTGAGACATGATGGAAAGTTCCAGATAGCTAGCTCCTCCTAGCTCTTTTGATGTTGGTGATCAGTGGATCAGTGGGAGAAAGGCATGCACTGGCTAACCTGCAGGCAGGCAGACACAAAAAAGGCAGAACTATGGTAGATTTCCCCCATGTCAGTTCAGAGTCACATTGGGGTAGAGCCCAGGTAAGGACTTACAGGATGGTAACTTGGAATCCTGTCTCCATGGTTTCTTCACCTGTCATTCTGGTATGAAACTCCCTATCTTCCTCCCCCTTTTAATGGATGTTTTATAGTTGTCCACATGTATGGAGTACACTCTGATGTCTTGATATGCATATGGCACACTGATTTGACCTCAAACATTTATCATTTCTTTGTGATAAGACGCTCCCCACTTCCCTTGCACTTTGAAATATGTAGCTGATTGTTAACTATAGCCACCTTTCTAGGCCCTGAAACAGTGGCACTCATTCCTCATAACTGTAACTTTGTAGCAGTGGTTAGCCTGTTGCCAGCCTTCTTCGGTCTCCTTGTTTCTGTCCTGCCCTGTGTTTCTATGAGTCAGTCCTTTCTAGATACCCTATATGAATGAGGTCATGCAGTATTTATCTTTCTGTCCCCGGGTCATTTCACTTCCTGGAATGTCCTCCAGGTTCATCATGTTGTCTAAGATCACAGGCTTTTCTTTTTTATTTGAAACTAAATAGTATTCCACTACATTTTCTTTGTCTCCTCATCTACTGTTGGACTCCCTGGTAGATTCCATACCTTGGCTATTGTGAATATTTATTAGAATAAACAAGGGTTCAGGTACCTCTTGGATATGTTAGTTTCATTTCTTTTGTCTATTTCTCACTGGTGGGAGTTTTGAATCCTACGGAAGTTGTACTTTTGTTCATTTAGAGACCCTCCATGCAATTTCCCAGGATGCTTGTGCTGATAACCCCAAGAGTGTATTAGAGTACCCCTGTCTCCTCCTCAGCAGCATTTTTCCTACTATCTTGCTGAAAATAGCCTTATGACAGTAGTGGGTGCGCCCACAGTTCTGAGAGGATCAGAACAGAACTGGAATGGGAAGGATGGAGGATTTGGGAAGTCCTGCCCAGGTGGCAGGGATGGAGAATTTCACTCTGACCGGGAAACATGGTGGATCAAGAACAGAAAACAGGCCCACTGCCTTCTGGGTCCCACGATCTCTCAGAATTCTAAGGGCTCACAAAGAAGACAGGAGAGAGGGGAGCCATGAAGACAGAGAGGGCATGATGCGTGTCACCTAGAAAAGCAGGACAGATAGACTGAGCAGGCTGAGTATATCTGGATGTGGGAAGGGAGCCCAGGAGAATCTGCCCCTCTCCCCCTGTGTCCCCAGTGGGCTCTGAGGCTACAGAAGGGGGAGACTGAGGTGACAGGGGCCTGATGCTATCAGATGTGAGTTTCTAGAGAGGTCTGTCTGGTCCACATGAAGGACAGGTTGAGATGGAGCAAGATGCCCTATGGTCTTAGTGAAGGTGATGATAGCCTGTGTTATGAGCATGGACAGAGATGAAGGGATTCCATGGGGATGGAGAAGACAGCCAGAGTTGCTCTGGGTCTGTGATGTGGAGCCACTACTCCTGCTGTGAGGACTTCAGATAGGTGCATGAAGCCACCACTCCTGCCATGAGGGCTCCAGAGGACGAGCTGGTTAGAGGGCTGTGCATTTGGGACAGGCTGACCTGTGGCTCTGTGGGACACTCAGAAAGTGCTCCCCAGGAGGCAGGCAGCTGACTGTAGGCTGTGCTGAGGGGACTAGGCCCATCATGTGTCAGTTGCTCCGCCCCCTTGACCTTCTTGCAATGTCAGTCCTGTCCCCAAGAGCTTCTTCAACTATAGTCTCCTCCTGGGCAAAGGCCTGGCCAATCAGGGCCCTTCTCACAGGGACTCTCTGGCCTGAGCATGCTGCTCAGCTTTTCTCCAAACACAGAACATGGGGTCATTTCCCCTCCAAGGACTCTGGCTACAAACTCTCTATCAGAATCTTATGTCCATGTGTCTGAATATGCTTCCTACTTGGAAGACCTAAAGTATTAGACTTTCAACTCTGCTACCCAGTGGCACTTTGGGCTTTTCCTTGGCTTCTTTGAAATATGCTGTGGAAGGGGCTAGCTGGAAAGGAGATAGAAGAGTGTCTATCCACCACACAGCATTCAGTGAACATTACAGTTGCTTCCATTGGGTGAAGGACATGAAGGTGTGTGCTGCTGTGTTGGATAGCTGGTAGGGAAGGACTGGAGAGATGGCTCAGTGGGTAGGAGCACATTCTTCTCTTGCACAGGATCTAGGTTCGGTTCCCAGCATCCATGTCCAGTGTCTCAAAACTATTCACAACTCCAGCTTAGGGATCTGAATTCTCTTATGGCTCCTGGGACACCTGCACATATGTAGAAACACACACACACACACACACACACACACACACACACACACACACACAAATAAATATATTTATAACTTTCTTTTCCCCCATTTTCTTTAATCTGCATGTGTGTTTTGCCTACAAGTATGTCGTGTACCATGTGTATGCCCTGTGCCCATGGAGGCTAGAAGAAAATATCCCCTGGAAATGGAGTTACAGATGGTTGTGAGCTGCTGTATAGGTTCTGAAAATAGAACCTAGATCCTTCCAAAGAACAGCCAGTACTCTTAACTCATGAGCTATGTCTCTGTTCCTGGTAAAATAAATCTTTAAACAGAGAATGTAGGGAGTAGAAATGGACCCCTTTCTTCTTTAGTTGCTCCCCCCCCCACCCACGACACACTTTTTTTCATGATGGCTGCTCTGGGCTTTTCAGACACACATAAAAACAGTCATGCATGCTCCTCGGAGAAAGACAGCAACCAGGATCTGGCCATGCCCAGCCAGGAAATCAACTCCAAACAAGTAGAGAGGTGGAGGCAAGAGACCAGAGGTCTGCACACAGAGAAGACAAGGGGCCAGGGAGAAAACAGAATGGATGTAGGGTGCGTATGTGAGGGCCCTTATGGTCATTCTTCTGATTCTTAGAGCTTGTTTCCCAGGGGCCAGCTGAGAGCAGAGGGTATCTGAGCCCCAGGAGCCCCAGCAACTTCAGCAGAGCTGTGGTGACACAGGGCCATTTTCCTTGTGTGGCTTCTTTGATAGAAGAGTCTGGCAGCTCAAGGGGGCAGCTGCAACATCAGAGCACAAGTGTCCTGCTCTGGGCCACATTGCTGGGCTGATCATGGGGCCAGAGTCAGCAGTCACACTGGTTGTTGGTTACCAAAGTGAGGGACTGCAATCCACATCATGGCAAGGGGCCCAGGTCAGGTAGCCCTGATATTGTAGCCCTGTGACAGTGACTCACTTGTCAGAGGAGGGGAGGGGCCAGAAGGCTGATCCTGGGAGGAAGGACACTCTCAGAAGAATTGGTCAAGTGCTCTGGAGTCTGGGGGGAAGCTACTCAATCACTAGAGTCCCCTTCAGCTCTCCTGTGTTTCTCTTCATTTTTTTGAAGACAAGCTCTCAGTGTGTAGCCCAAATGAGCCTCAAATCTAATATATAGCATAGGTTGGCCTCAAACTCCTTGTAATCCCTGCCCCATGCCTCAGTTTCCCAGAGGGCTTTGATTACAGGGTGAAGATGCTCAGCTGGAGAAACCCTGTTTATTCTCAGAGCTGCCCACAGCAGAGGAGGAAGGGGAGTTGAGGGCTTAGAGGTGAACCTTAAGGCAGAGGCTAGCCTGGGCTACAGGAAGAAATCCTGTCTCAATGTCACTCCCCTTCCATACCCCCAAAACCTCCTAAAACTAAAACAAGGTTTCACATAGCTTTCCGGTGCCCTACTCACAGTGTGCTCACATTGCTCTGATTGCTGGCACTGAACTTACAGTTTTCTTACTCTTAGCTCCACTCTTGCCAATTCACAGTTAATGTTTATCTCTGTCTTCCAACTGTGGACACCCTCTTTCTTCTAGGCCATGCCCAAAGGCAGGAGTACAGCTACCGGGGACATGCTGGAGATGTGTCATGATGGGCTTTTTACACAAAAATAGGCATAGCTGTATGCGAGTTCGTTATAGATTATACTGATAAAACAGATAGGCACATAGCATACCCATGTGGTAAATACTCCCTGCTCCTTATTCCAGTTGAACAGAGCCAGTTAGTTGTCTCAATGACAACTCTGAGTTTTGCTGATCCCTTGTCTCCGGGTCAGCCTTGAACTGCAGCTGGTCAGTGAGCCTGGTTTCGACATGAGTGGTGGTAGATGCTTTATTTACATGAATGAGTCAGACAAATGGGGAAGAAGCAAGAAGATACCAGTGAGAAGGCCCTGGTATAGAAAGTACTTTTTGATGAGCCATAGATAAGAGTTTTTGAATCTTGGAAGAATAGCACCTCAAAAGAAAAAAAGAAATCATTTTTGAGTAGCTTACAAAGCATAGCTATAAGTATAACAGGCTTGAGGCTAGAGAGGTGGCTCAAACATTAAGGGCACTGACTTCTCCTGCAGAGGACCCAGGTTCAGTTCCCAGCATCAACATGGTGGCTCAAAATCTGTAATTCCAGTTCCAGGGGACCGGATGACCTCTTCAGGCCTAGACATAGACACAGACAAAACACCCATATATATACAATGAAAATAAACAAATCTTAAAAAGAAATATAACAGATTAAAAGCTCTGCATTATAGACATTTTCTCTATCATTTTTAGTCTTCATAGAATGGTCAACTTGCGCTGATTGGAAGTAATCCCTGGTTCCTTCTGGGTTCCTGTCACTGCTGATCCCAAGCCTCAGGGCTCAGGAGGGCGGGATCCACAATGCAGATGAAGGCATACTCCCCAGGAATGAGGCATTTTCAGGCTTCATTGCTTACGCCTTTAATGTAACCTGTTTAATTTTTGACAGTGGTGTTTAATAACTACCATGCAGTGTTTCTCATCGTGACAGCTGGTCCTGTCAAACAGACCCAAGCCAGCCTTGGCAACACCTGTGTCCACCTTGGTCCTCCAAGGCCTGAGGATTCATGGGATTCCCCTTAAAGCAGATTCCTTGGCACCAGGTGTGCTCAGAGTCCTTCATAGACACACTGCATGCATCAGGTCCCTTTTCCACGGCCCCTCCTCTGCACCGAACCAGGTGTATACACAGTCCTGTGCAGACACACTGCATGCATTTAGTCCCTCTTCCATGACCCCTCCTCTGCACTGAACTAGGGACCATTCTTTTTGCTGCCCTCGATACTGGCAAACCGAACAGGACCTGAAAAAGACCCAAGCTGTGTGATTTTCTCTGATCCCTGCCCCTCTCTGGATTCCAGCCTCTAGAAGGAGGTTCTTCTGGAAATCAGTGACCATTCCAAGTCCCCATGTGCCAGGCACCAGCTAGACTCAAAATGGGTGATGAGAAAGCCCCAGAACGCTGGCCTGGTGCTCTGGGGAGATTGCCATGCTCTGGCTAGGACAAGGAGCTCACCCACTGGGTTCCTGACACTTCCCTCCCCTCCCCCGCCCCCTGTCAGTTCCTTGTTTTAAAAAGAAGTGAATGCTACCTAACCTGCAAAAAGTTAAATTATGAACTAGAAATAGAGGGGGAGCCAGAGGGGGAGAGAATATCTGCATCCTAGTTCACTTCTGCAGGCGCTTCTCTGACCATCCTTGGCTTGTGCTTCTCAGAAGTAGAATTTTCAGAAGTGGAGTTACTGCATCCAGAAAGGTTCTTGGTGTATATGCAAAGCAGTGCTCAGAGCCCTCACTCTTGTTTGCATCGAGACTCCCATAAACGAGGATGCCATCTCCTCTCAGCCCCTCAGCACAGCTGGGAGCTCCCTTCAGGGGCTCCCAATCTGAAAAGGCAGATGACATCTTTCGTTTCAGTACTAATTGATAGCTAAGGATTTATTTTATGGTATTAGCCTTTTTCAAAAATTCAGGACTCATGCAATTCAGGTTTCCAGGTATGTCTGAGGCTGGCCTTGAACTTGTGATCCTCCTGCCTCCACCTCGTGAGTGCTGGAGCTGCAGCTGCATCCCATACTGGACTGTTGTTTTCTATTTTAACTTCTTAGCTGGCACACAATAGCAACACAGGGTGTGGGTGTGACATGGCAGGTCCTCATACACTGGTCAGAGCAGGGCCATTCATTATCCCGCAGTCATCTCAAACATTGATCGTTGCTGTGTGTTGGGAGCAATCTCAACCCTCCCTTCCAGCTATTTGGAAGCAGTCAGTACATCACTGCTGGGTGTGACCACCCTTCTGTGCTCTGTAACTCTGGGCCTTACCCCTCCTCTGTAGCTGTAGCCCATGCCTGTCTCCCTCTGCTCCCTGTCCTTCCCAGCCTCTGGACTTGCATGAGATCAATTTTTAAAAAGCATATTTGTTGTCTGTGTCTACCTTATTTTACTCAACCTGATATTCTACAGGCTCATTTCTGTTCCTGAAAATTACAGGATTTAATTTTTTGTGATTGAGCAATATTCCATCACATATACATACCACATTTTCTTTATCAGTTTATCCATTAGTGAGCACCTCTGCTCATTCTCTATCTCAGCTACCACAATAGTTCTACAGGGAACATTTTTATTTCTTTTCCTTTGGATGCACACACTTGGAATGATGTACTAAGTGTTGTAGTTCCATTCTTAGTCAGTTGTTTATTTTTAGACAGGGTCTCACTATGTAGACCAGGTTAGCCTCTAACTCACAGAGATCCACCTGCCTCTGTCCCCTGAGTGCTGGGCTTAAAGGAATATGCCACCATTCCCAGTTCTATGCTTAGATCTTGAGGACCCTCTATACTGTTTTTCCCAGTGACCATACTAACTTTTATTCCTACCAACATTCAGCATTACCCTCTCTGTGTGTCCTCACCAGCCCTGTTTTTTCCTGCCTGTGGTGCTAGGGAGGCTTCACACTAGTTAACACCAGTGGCCCACTTACATCTTTTGAGAAATGAAAGCTCTGGAGGCTAGAGAGATGGCTCAGCAGTAAAAAGCATTCACTGCTCTTCCAGAGGACCCAGGTTCGATTCCCAGCACCCGTGTGGTGACTTGCAGCCTACCTGCACTCCAGTTCCAGGGGCTCTGACACCCTTTCCTGACCTCTGCTGACACCAGGCAGGCAGGCACACAGTATACTTACAGACCTGCAGGCAAAACACTCTTCCATATAGAATAAAATAAGCAAATCATTTAAAAAGAAATGAAAAATCAGGTCACTTGCAAATTATGTTTAAATACCTTTTCTTCCTCCACTAGCAGCTTACTTACTAGTTTTTAGATGCCATCGGTCTGTGTCTGTCATTTATGTTGACTTAGTTTTCTTTCTCTTCCTGGTCGTTGTTGGCGTGATCGAACCTTTTCTTTCCTGTAACTTTTTATGGTACTGGCTCTTGTTCTGCCGTTCTCTTATGGTGGCCTGCCTCTGAACTGTTAACCTGCTTATCTAGAAGTTCGTTTTTATCTAAGTCACAAAGGGAGGAGGCAAGAGTCTGGAGTCCCCTGTAAACAGGGGAGCGGAGCCAGCCAGCTGTTGTTTCCCTCTGCCCTCCATGCAGCTGTCATTTGGTGCTTGAGCTGATGCTGGATCAGACATCCTATTTTGTAAGCTCAGACATCCTATCCTGAGGTACTCACCTAGCTACTGACTGTGTTTGCTGCTTCTTCTGTTCCTGTTGCTTCAAACCCTTCTTCATAGGTTCATTTTTCTTATTGCCTGAGAATCTTCTCTAATTTCTTTCAGACAGTTTATAATGGAAAATATTTTTCAGTTCTTTTGCTTATAAATATGCATTGACTACATCATTAAATGGAATGTTACATGTGAATAAATTTGGCATTTATAGATTTAAAACAAATATTTACATATTCAAATTCCTGGGGCCCTTGGCAGTCTTCTTTTTCTGATTTCCCTTGGAGGGCATGCCCTCTAGCGTTCACTCCAGAGAGAGCCTGCGTTCCTGCCACTTCCTCAGGAGGAAGGGAATAAATACAGTGTTCACTGAGTCTCTGGCGTCTTGGGGGCAGTCTTTCTTGTGGTATCTTGGGTTTGGAATGGGTGTTCACGTGTGCTTGAGAGGATATGCTGCCTATGTCGGGAGCCTGACTGTAACTGATGTCAGGTGTGGTTTAAGGCTGGCTTTGGGGTTGGGTGGGGGGGTGGATGTGCTAGCTGTGACACTTCAGTGGCTGGTCTGTGAAGCTCCAGGCTCCCTCCAAGTGCTACTTCTGATGCAGCCATGGTCTTCTCTCTGTGATCCATGCATTCTATACTGGAGATGTAAATACACTGTCCCTGGCTGACCAGGGTCAAGGGTAGGCTACTTGGGCTAAGCTGTTCTGTCTTTACTGCTCCCTTTGCAAGCCTCATGTCAGCACTCTATGCCTGTTTCCAGATACACTGACTGGATCATTGCATTTTACACACACTCTGTCTCTCCCCAGGCTTGGTGGCAGGTCCCTCTGCCAGCTGAATCATCTCACTGGCCCTGCTCTTGCTTCTTGCATGGTTATGGAGCTCGTTACATGTGGTCTCACACTCTGTGGTCCTGCTGGCTTGTTGGTCTTTTCTCTTTAATCTTGTCTCAGTTCTCTGATACTTCTCTTTGCTCTCAAGTATGGCTTCTTCTCTCCCTCCCTCCCTTCCTTCCTTCCTTCCTTCCTTCCTTCCTTCCTTCCTTCCTTCTTTCCTTCCTTCCTGCCATGTAAGGGTTTTTTGTATGATTGAGAGACTGATGCATGTGCTCAGCTTACCTTCTCAAGAGGCAAAAACAGAACTACACTTCTGTCTCACTTCTCACCTATTGAGCCCCGCCCACTGATATCTAGATATTTTAGATGTGTGGTCAGGCATAAGCAGAAGCCGCTAGGATTTTAAAGGATTCCAGGAGATGTGTGTGTTCCTGGTCTCCCCCGAGGGTTGCTCTCCCTGACACCTCTGAGGGGCAGGAGTCACTGATTGCAGGACGCAGCTGAGGAGATGGCTGGCTGGGTGTACTGGAGTCAGGAAGGGCAAGAACGAAGAGGATGGAGGTGATGCTATGATGGGCCACGGTAGTGCTGTGCAGTCAGGGCAGCAGCTGCAAGGTGTGGTGTCCCCTAGAAAAGAGAAAATCCCTTGTCAGGGAAAGCTGCCTGGCAATTTTGCCTTGAGATCCTGAACTCTGAGGACATATGTGGTGTGTAGTCGAATGGCTGCCCTCCTGTCCCAGCAGCTCACTGGTATTTCTGACCTTGGCTATGAAAAACCAGGTTCACAGGCTGATTTCTTGGGAAGTTAATGATGGCGCAGCCTCAGTCCCCTCACCTGCACAGGGCCCTTGTGAGGCTCTGGGAGGGTGGGAAGAACTCTGGTTAAAGGATTTCATAGTCATTAATTTCCCTTAAAATGTGAAAAACTCTGTAGTATTATGTAAAAAGAACACCCCACAAAACCCAAATCTACCCATGACTATGTCATCCAGAAATGAATGGGGGTTTTGGTGCCAGCTCCAGGCATGCTGGATAGATCTTCAAAACAATGGATGACAGCAGTCCTTTGGGGAAGATGGTGAGTGAGCAGTCCCGGTCTTGGGGAAAGCAAGTAAGGAAGCTCAGATGGTCCAAACTCCTGCAGACTGGAGTCAGTGCTGTCCTGGGGACTGATGATGTGAACCTGTTTTCCAGGACCAGGCAGCTAAATGTCACCTGTGACAGCTCAGTGGACAGGGAGTTCTTCCTCCATTACTCCCTCATCCCTTCAGTAAGTAAAGGTGTGGGAACACAGGGGAGGTCACGGAGCCACAGGCAGTGAGCAGAGGGGGCACCAGGGAGGGGAGTTTGGGATGCTCCACCACACAGCTTTTGGGCAGGCCTGCATCACTCAAGGGAGAGAGAGCAGATGGTTTTCCTTCCAGTGTGTGTCCAAACACACACAAGAAAGCATTTAGAGTCCAAGTGTCAGGGATATGGGACTTCTGACAGAGTGTAAAGGGGGGTTTCTTTCTTTTCTTCCTTTATTGTGTATGTGTGCACAGGTGTATGTGTGTGAACGTGTGTATGCCTGCATGTGGAGACCAAAGGCCTCAGGTACAGTTCACCTTTGATTTTGGTTTTTCAGTTTTTAAATTTGTTTATTTATGAATGTGTTGTCTGCATGTATGTCTGGGCACTACCCACATGCCTAATATCCTTGGATGCCCTTGAACTGGGGTTACAGATGGCCACAAGGTACTGTGTGGGTACTGGGGATTGAACCTAGGTCCTCTGGAAGCAGGCAGTATTCTTAATGGTGTTCTTAACTGCATCCTCTTTTTAGCCCTCACTTTTTGTTTTTTGTTTTGTTTTGTTTTGTTTTGTTTTTTTGAGACAGTCTCCCACTGAGACCTGAGGCTTAGTGATTAAAGCAGATTGGCTAGATAACCAGCACACAGGGATCTGTTTGTCTCTACCTCCCCAGTACTGGGATTACAGATGTATGCCACCACATCTGTTTGTTTTAATGTGGCTGCAGGGGATCTAATTCAGGTCCTTATGCTTGGGCAGCAAGTGCTTTTCTAAGTTATCTCCTCAATCCCCAGGAAGGACTTTCCTAAGGCAGTAAAGATAGGGCTAAGGTCACCTTGAAAGATACAGTGAAGAACATTCCAGACACAGAGGAAAGCTTCTGTGCAAAGGCCCTGTAGAGGGTGGAGGAAGGCAAAGTGGAGAAACTGAAAACTAGAGCAGAGAACCAAGAGGTGGTGGGAGAGTCTAGGAGGTGGGTGGGTGGGCTGTGCGGGAAAGAACTTTGTGGGAGGAGGGTTGAGCCAGGCGGGGTGAAAATCTCAAGCCAGTCTGGGCTACAGATCATGTTCAAGACTCTTCTAAACAATCTCATGAGGCATAGTTCCCACATTTTAAAAAAAAAAAAGTAAAAAGAGGGCTAGGCATGCAGCTCAGTGGTAAGGCACTTTGCCCAGCATATGCAGGGCCCTAGAGTCAACCCTCAGTATGGGGAGGAGGTGGGAGGAGAGAGTTCCAGGTTTGGGGTGGATGAAGGAACAGGGCAATAGGAACATGGTAAGTTTCACCTAAAACATGCTGAATCTGAGACGCTTTCAACAGAAATGCCAGCTGGATAGCCTGACAGACCTGGAGGAAAACAGGGACAAGGGCTTGGACATACAAGAGATCTCTCTCCAGAAGCCAGGGAAGGAATGAGCTATCCAGGGGCTTGGAGAAGAAATGGCGAGAGCAAGAATGCATGGTGGAAAAACCCAGGGAAGATGGTTGAATGAGAAGGGTGCAGTCAGCCTGGGGCACCGCTGGCAGATCACATTGGAGTTGGGCATTGCCTTGAGCTATAGAATGACTTCTGGTGACTTCAGTCATAGCTCCTTCAATGCAATGATAGGGTCTGAGGGGCCAATAAAGACAAGGAAATGGAGAGCACATATAAACAATTCTCAAAAAGTTCCTGGTAAAAGTAGGATAAAGAATATGCCTGCATGTCTGCCTGCATGCCAGAAGAGGGCACCAGATCTCATTACAGGTAGTGTGAGCCACCATACATTCAGGCAGAACACTGTATTCATGATAGATAGACAGACAGACAGACAGACAGACAGACAGACAGACAGACAGACAGATAGATAGATTTAAAAACAATAAAAGAAGAATATGCATCTGGTGCTTAAGAACATGACCACATCCACAAAAGCAAAATGGGAAAAGCCTGATAGGCGTGGCTGCCTCTGTACAGACAGAAACCAAGCACAGGGAGGATCTGCCTCCCTCCTAGCAGTATGTGGGAGAGGTTGGACTTGAACCTCTATCTGTGAAGGGCCACACAGAGAAAAGGTCAGTACAGAACCTTCTGGTAGCTCTGAAGTACATGGAGTTCAGGGTGTCACAGGTGCTTTTAGCTCTCCATTGCCCACATGTTCTTTTCCTGTGAGGCCACCAAGGCCACCCTGAGGGTGACTGGGTCCCATAACATACTGTTCTCTCCTTACAGCTTTTCATCATTTTGGTCTTGTCTTTCCTCCAAAGACGAGAGCATCGTAGACAAAGAGATGACACCTTCTACCTCCTGGGGGATCACTTTGGAATCATCATGTGAGTTGGTTCAGTGTCATCCCCTGAAGTTTGGGGTATCCTGTGTTTGGGACTAATACAAAGCACAAGGCCACATCGCTGTGAAGAATCAGTCTTCTTCCACTGTACACACTTGCCCTTCCAGCTTGTCTTAGGGTTTCTATTGCTGTGATGAAACACCATTATCAAAAGCAAGCTGGGGAGGAAAAGGTTTATTTGACTTATACTTCCACATTGTAGTTCATGGCTAAAGGAAGCCAGAACAGGAACTCAAGCCAGCACGAACCTGGAGGCAGGAGCTGATGCAGAGGCCACAGAGGGTGCTGCTTCCTGGCTTGCTCCCCATGGCTTGCTCTGCCTGCAAGCTACAAGGCAAGGTGAAGGGCTGAGGCTGGCTGTGTTAGTTACTCTTTTCTATTGCTATGACCAGATACCTGACAAAGAAGGTACCAGATACCAGAGGGAAGGAAGAGTTCATTTTGGTCTGCAGTTTAAGAAGCAATACAGTTCGTCATAGCAGAGAAAACATGGTGACAGAGGAGGAGGCAGCTGGTCACATTGCTTCTGCGGTCTGGAAGCAGAGAGAAGTGGAGGCTGGTTTTCTGTTCACTTCCTCCTTTCTGTCTAACCAGGACCCAAACTATGGGATGGGATGATATTATCCAAGTTCAGAACTGGTCAGCTAGACCTTTCTAGAAACATCTTCATGAATTTACCCGCAGACATGTTTCCATGGTGATTCTTTATCTCATCAAGTTAACATGCAAGATTAACAGCCACATTGATAAAGACTCTTTGACCCCACACTGGACATGTGGCAGAGCTTGTGAAGCAACCACATTAAACTTCCTGGACTTACATGATCATGGCTTATCTGACTGGCTCCTGTCACAACACCTGGTTCTCTTAGTCATGCTGGCCTCTCTCATTGTCACTGACTAATGCTCCCTGCTATGAGAAATGTCCATCATAGGCTCATGTATTTGAAAACCTGGTCCCAGCTGGTAGCCATGTTTGGGAAGGTGATGAGACCTTCCAGGGGAAGAGCCTTGCTGGAGGAAGCATATCAGTAGAGGCAGGCTTTGAAGTTCCTGTTCTCTCTCTCTCTCTCTCTCTCTCTCTCTCTCTCTCTCTCTCTCCCTCCCTCCTTTCTGTGCACAGATGAAATGTGATCAGAAATATGTGGCCAGCTTCATACTCATGCCTTCCACACCACAGTGGATTGTATCCCTTCTAGAACTGTAAGTCCAAATAATATCCCACCCCGATTTGCTTTTCGTTGGGGTATTTTATAACAGCAACACAAAGGTAACTAACACATCCCCTCTTGTTGGCCACAAAGACTTCATGATAAGCAAAGTAGGAGGCTTCTGTCTCTTTTTAAACTTTGGTAAATGGAATCTCACATGCAACCTAAGTACCATGGTTGGGTCTTAATGGAATTCAGTTTGACTAGCCTGTACTGAGCTGGAATTCCTCCCAAAGTCCTGTAGGTTCCACCCTGCAGACTTTATAGTTCCTAAGCACTTGGTGACATGGAGGGCAGTGTGTTGAAACAGGAACATGAACTTGGTGCTGAGGAAAGCAATAGGGACGGCCTGATGGGGCAGGAGATGAAGACACTTCCTTAGGCTGAGGTCAACGGAAGGCAGAAGAGGTCTTGCAGACTCTGGTTTGTAGTGACCAGCTCTCAGATCCCCAGAGTGCAACTCTGTTTTTCTCTCCTGATGACAGGGCCTCATGTTACTCACACTCACACTCACCTCAAATTCACTGGGAAGCCAAGGATGACCTTGAACTCCTGATTCTCTTGCCTCCACCTTCCAAGTGCTAGGATTACAGGCATGTTCCAGTATTCCTGCCTCCAGGTTCTTATTCTGGTTGTTATTCTGAACTAGGGAAAACTCCTTTGCTTAGGAGAAACATTATCTATCCACATTTAGTGCCGGAAACAAAAAGAGATAATTTTAAAAAGAAAGTTACAACATTCTTATAAGTAACTAATTGATTTCCTGAGAACTGAAAGGAGACTCCCAAGCTGACTTTGTCTTTTTCTGTCGCCCCATGTCACTGGGGCATCTCTGAGACATTGTGCCATGCTCCTTTTGGTGGTGTCACTTAGGCTCCTGCTTCCCTGTGACTTTGGCTTTCCTGTGACAGCACTCTGATCCTGACTTGGAATGACTTTAACAACTCACAGCCTCAGTCAGGGTCACAATTAGAGAAAGACAAGGCCAGACATTGGCCTGTTGTAGCCAAACTCCAGCAGTGACCCATGAATCAGTCAGCCATGGCCAGGAAAGCACTGTCACTTTAGGGAGGGCAAAATTTCACCTCTGTGCTTTTAGGGTTTTCCAGCTGGGCTTGAGAATTAAATTGAGAGCTGCAGAGATGGCTCAGCCATTAAAGGCTGGACTCCCAACCAAAATGTCAAGAGAATTAAATTGACAGAAGACAAACTGACAGGGGAAAAACATCAATTTGCTTAATGTGACTTTTACAGGCACAGGAGCCCATAAGGACACAAGATTCAAAGGTGCAGTTAAAGTTGAACATGTAGGACCAGCAAGGTGGCTCAGTGGGTAAAGGCACTTTCCATCAAGCCCAATGGCCTTCCCTAGTTCCCCATGTGGTAGAAGGAGAGAACTGACTCCCACAAGTTGTTGTCCTTTGATCTCCATATGCCTAACACACACATATACACACACCTTTTTTTTTTAAGGAGAGAGAGAGAGAGAGAGAAAGAGAGAGAGAGAGAGAGAGAGAGAGAGAGAGAGAGAGAGAGAGAGAGCATGTAATAAGTTTGGGGAAAGTAGATAACCAAGAGTAACTATCAAAGAGTGTTATTTTGTAGAATTCTCTTGGCTTCAAGTTCTCATCCATGAGAATTATCATGCCATTTCTCTACTCTCTGGGGGCATCTTTTACATGGGAATTTCATCTGTTTTTAACTTGGTCAGAGAAATATTTTTATAATGCTTCTTAAAGATTTATTTTTATTCGTAAGAGTGCAGGTACTCTCAGGGTCCAGAGACATCAGAGCTCCCTGGTCCTGGAGTTAACAGACTTTTAGTTGTGAGCCACTTGACATGTGTGCTAGGGATCAAACTCAGGTTTTCCACAAGAGTGGTAGGCACTCTACACTGCAGAGTCTGTTCTCTGGCTCCTCACTCTGTGTGTATGTGTGTGTGTGTGTGTGTGTGTGTGTGTGTGTGTGTGTGTGTGTTTTCCCTTAAAGTTTTCCAACCTTAACCTTTATATGTGGTGGGTATTCTGCCTGCATGTAGGTCTACATACCATGCTCGTGCAATGCTCACAATTGCTAGAAGAGGGCTTTGCATAATCTAGGACTGGGAATTATAGATGATTGTGAGCCATCATATGGGTGTTGGGAATGAAATCATCTGGAGGATGCAAACTTTGCTTTTAAGTGCTGATTCATTTCTCCAGCCCCATATTTCTTCTAATTGTCATTTTTTGAAGTGTCTTTAAATCAAAATATCCCATATGCCAAAGTGGCATAGTTGAAGTGGCATAGTTTTAGCTCTTTCCTTTACATGGTTCTAGCTTAGCCAATGACACCCAGACCTTCATCAGAGATATCAGAGGGAAGAGTCTTCACAGGCTATGTCTGGGTGCCTGACAGTCTCCCTAAATTTGATGAGACATGCTCCTTGTTTTGGTATTCAAATAACACTGTCTGTATCTAATAAAAGCTTGTTTTGTTTTGCTAGGTGTCATGGCTCCCAGTGTCCTTGCTCCATCCCTACTAGATGTTGAGGTCCTCTGTGGGAAGAACTGTGTCTTCCTTACTTTAGAGTCCTGAGTCTGTGCTTAGCTCCCGACCTTGGTTGCAATGAGCAGATCCCTCTCCCTCCAATCAGCTGCTTTCCAGGTAATCCAGAACCTCACACACTGTTTCTGTTGTCTACAGGCCTCTGGACTTTGTGGGGACTTTCAGCAACCGATGGTCCTATGGAATTGCCTTTGGGGCCACAGCCAATAAGGTCATGTTCTTGTTCTCAGAAGGCTACCAGCCCCTGAAGGTTCCACAGTGGGCCCAAGGTACCGGGCCTGCCTCACACATCCTGGGAATGCTTGCTGGACATACTTGCTCTCAGTGGCCATGGGGGTTGTCTGGAGGCATGAACTCTGTGAGCAATCACATTCTTAGCCTTGTCCCTTGCCCAAAGTCAATGCTTAGTAGCTCATAACACTTCCCAGCTTGCCTAGGGAGCTCCTCCCAGTTAGACTCAGAGGTGCTTTAGACAGACATAACCAAGGCATAGGAAGTAGAATCTTCCTCATCTCCTCAGCCAGTGCCCCCATTGTTGCCTTCTAACAGCAGCAGTTTCTGCGGCTCCTCCTCAATAAATGATGTATGCTTCTTTGGACACTGGCCCACGGCCTCTCTCCCCAGGCTCCATGCTTTATTTAAAGGAGTTACTCTGACCTACAGATTGGTGAGCTCTCATACAATCCCAGAATCTCCTCTCCATGGTACAAACTGCAATATGTACTGCTGAAACACAGTCAACATCTCCAGGAAGACTGTTCGAGTCTTTGTCTCCTGGGGATGGGGTGTCACTGGTTTTTGTGTCTGTGTCCCTGTGGCAGGACGAATGTGCCTCTGTACAGTTCATTTCAGATTGCTCTCCTGCAGTCTTCCCCACTGCACTGTCATTTTCTCAAAGCAAGAACCCTGGCCATTTCTTTTGTGCAATAGGCCCAGAAGCATCTCAAAGCTGACACACTGTATGGGTCATCTCGGGTGACTGAGCCCTTCCTCGATGCTGTCAGTCCATCTCAGAGATAGCCAGTGGGGAAGCAATGTAACCATCACTTCTGTAGAAAGTGCTCTCCAGCGTGCACAGTGGGTGGACCAGTGTGACCACCACCTTCCCTCAAGTGCTCTCCAGTACACACAACATGCCTGTGTGGGCCTCCGTGGTACTCTTAGATGCTGTCCTTATAGCTGTTTTAGTTTGCTGGCTGGCTTGTATCTGTCTGCATATTGTGAGTTACTCACACGTAAAGATTCCAGTCTTCATCTCCATGGTCAATTGGCACCAGCCATGGGGAGAGGAGCAGGAAGGGTCTGTGGCTGACGGAAGGACATTGGTGCATTCCTCTGCCATGGTCTAAAGCTCTTCCTTCATTCAGTCAGCTCTTTAGATCCTGAGGCACAGGCTCGAGCTCAGAATGGAGTGCCACAGCTCTCCTGGCCACCTCTGAGTAGTGAGCGGAGGATCCCACAGCATCCCGGCCTTGTCTCTTGCAGCCTTTGTGCTTCTCATCGGGGGCATGGAAGTTGGCCTGTCTTACTTTCCCTTCTTTGCCTGCCTGTCCTCAGAGTTCCGTCTGGTCAGCTCCATCCTGGGCTTCAGCTACTCCCTGACCTGGTAAGATGACTCTGCTGGCTTTCTTCTGGCCATTTTGGCCATGGCTGAACTCTAGGCATGGGGACAAAGAGGGCTTGGGTTCCTCATGGAGAACAAGGCCCAGAATGGACAGAGGTGACTTGTCCAATGCCCCTCTGTTGCTTCTTCTTGGGTGTACTTCTGAGGCTTCCACAAGTCTGTTCAGGACCCTGTGTGCACCCTAGGAGGGTGTTCATGATTAGAATACTCCTAGATGCCAGGAATTAAGGAAAATTCACTCTGAAAACTGACTAGGTCCTCACAAAGGAGGCAGGAGCCCCATGTCCACGGCTTCTCCTAGAGAAAGTTGCCATGTCTGCTTAACATTCAGGGCCATGCTGATTTGGCCTCTTCCCCGTCCTTCTCCAGTCCCTAAGGATGTCGAGCACACACCTTCAGCCACACAGTTTCCTACAGTCCATACCTCTCCACTTACTCAACAATCATTCTTTATGTTCTACAGTAAGCCAGGGACAAAGCAAGAAAGAGCCTCACGGACTCTGTACCCTGGTCCCTGGGCCTCTGTGTCCCTTTTCCCTGTTCCTTTTTCCTTCCTGGAACGATGCTTGGCTCACACTGAATATGACTTCAGCACTACATACTTATGCAGAACTGACACCAGGAAACCTCTGTCAACTGAGTGACCTGCCTTGGAGCAGTTCCACTCCTGAGTCTCTGAGGGTCATCCCTTGCTCCCACTCTCCCACCCACCTACTCTTACCTTCAGCAAGAGCCTCAGCCTCAGTCAGGAGACTTAAGACCTTGCCCTGGCTCTGTGTCTGTAAGTGGCTTGGATAAATCACTTGCCAGCCCTGGATTTCTGCCTCCTTGAATGTTAGAGGGAGAGAGGAGGAGCATCCTGTGTCTTCCTCTTTGGTCCACAAGGACTCTGAGATGTGTCCCCCATCAGGGCAGGCCCAGCAAATGCAGCGCTCAACTAGGCACAAGCAGGTGCCCAGTCAGGAAGGGACATACACATTCCTCCCTGGGGGTAGCAGGCAGGGCTGGGCTGCTGTGGATTATGCTGGGACAGAAGCCAACCCTAACCTGCTTCTTTCCTACAGGTTTGTGGTTACCATTCTTCAGATCTCACAGTGTCCCCATGGCCAGGTAAGTCCCTGATGACCTCACTCAGGGTGTTCAGTTACCACCTCAGGGCCATCTGGCTCTGGGAGCTCAGACAAGCCTTCTCAGGGCTTCAGTTTCCCCACCTCTGGGGGAGGGGATCACGTACGGTTCACCTGGCTTCTGTGTAGCACTTTTCACTCACTGCCCCCTGGTCACAAGCAGACATTGTCTCATTTGGTCCTCAAGACAGCTCATCAAACCTATGTCATAGGTGAGGAGACTATGCCAACTTTGCCAAGTAAATCACAGGAGGCAGCAGAGCTGGGATCTGGGGCCGCGAAGGCTGATGTCAAGGCCCCTTTCCCCTCCACTCAGCCCCAGCTTCTCTTGGTGTAAAATTGGAGAACCACACAGGGGAAAACTCCAGCATGACCACCCGGTGCCATCACCAGAGTTAATAGAAGCTGCAACCCAGAAAAGGAGCAAAATGGAAAGGATATTGTTAACCAGGGCCACACAGTTCTGGAAAAGCTCCATTTGGTTACACTGTGACAATTCTGGTGCTGATTTGGTTTCTAGCAGTAAATGAACGTATTTCTCTAGATTTTTACCTTCCCTGTCCCATGGACCCCAGTAATGACCAGCCAGGAAAGATGCTTGTCATCAATGGACACACTTTAACTGACCCCTCACTGGTTACCCTAGCAATGGCCAACTTGGGGCCAAAGCCAGATGCTTTTTTTTTTTAAAGATTTATTTATTTATTTATTTATTTATTATGTATGCAGTATTCTGCCTGCATTTATTCCTGCATGCCAGAAGAGGGCACCAGGTCTCATTACAGATGGTCTCAGCCACCATGTGGTTGCTGGAAATTGAACTCAGGACCTCTGGAAGAGCAGTCAGTGCTCTTAACCCCTGAGCCATCTCTCCAGTCCCCAGCCAGATGCTTTTTAAGCTCCTTCCTCACTGTTGACCTTTCTGCCATAACTATCCCAGCTTGTCAGTGGGCCCTGATGAAGCAGGTTTACACAAAGTAAAGGCTTACACCATCAGCAAGTTGCTTGTTCCTTGTCTGTCCTTCCTTCTTGTGGTCTTTCAAGTGTCACACTGCACTTGAAGGGCTCCCAGGAAGGTTTGGGGGAGTCAGGGAGGTTATCTGGGCCTAGAGATCAGGCCTTACCACACTTGCCAGGATTTAACAGTGGATTATTAGATGCATGTGATAAAGACAAGTGTGGTAGAGCCCAGTTAGAAGAGAGAGACTGGTGCTGGATGCTGGTGCACGCCTTTAATCCCAGCACTTGGGAGGCAGAGGCAGGCAGATCTCTGTGAGTTCGAGACAAGCCTGGTCTACAGAGCAAGTTCCAGGACAGCTAGGGCTGTTACACAGAGAAACCCTGTCTTAAAAAAAAAAAAAAAAAAGAAAGAAAGAAAGAGAGAAGAAAAAAGAGGAGAGAGAGAGAGAGAGAGAGAGAGAGAGAGAGAGAGAGAGAGAGAGGTGAGACCAAGCAGCTGAGCATTCCCTCCACATCTCGACTTGGGACTGGGAAGGCCTGGCGAGCCTCTGCCCAGGAGGATGCCTCTTTGCCACTGATTCCAGGACCTGGATTCTGGGTTACAGTCTTCCTTTGCACCTCGTTGAACCTCTCAGTCTCCAGAAGTGCGTTTGAAATTCCAAATGTTCTTGGCTCTATGTAGGGAGAGGATAGGATCTTACTTCTAATTCAGACTCTCTCATTGTGAACTGCTATGTGTTAAGTTCCACTCCAATCCATGGAGAGACAGACAGACATGGAGGAAAAACACGAAAATGCTGGCCATGGTCACGGTGAGCTGGAGCATGTGTTGGGGGAGGAAAGGAAACTGCGACACCTCCATCTCAGGGCGTCTCTATCCTGTATCCTTAATCACAGCACCAAACCCCAGTTTCCTAGGGGAACTTGGTCCCCAGAATGTGACAGAACAGGAAACCAGCCAGAACAGTGTGAAAGCTGAGTCCTACTAGCATTTGTCTGAAGCGGTTAACAAAAAAAGGATTTCAAAGAAGTTGAAAACACTCCCTTTAGAAGCCCATTCATTTCCATCTCCCTCTTCCCTTTTGTCCCCCCTTCCTCTCTCCTCTCTCCCTTCTCCTATCCCTCTCTGTTCTTTTATTTCTTCCTTTCCCCATCCCAACCTCCTCCTTCCATCTACCTACTCAACCCCGTATTCCAGTCTCTCATATTTCCCCAAAGGAGACATCTACTTTCTTCATTAGATTAAAACAAACAAACGAAACAAGCTGTTTTCATAAAATAAAAGGGCTCAAACTTTTCCATCTGGGGTTGCTGGACTCCAAATCCATTTTTCTTCTGACCATGTAGTGGGAGCAGGGATTGGCTGATCATGTGGGGAAGGGAAGCAGGGATTGGTTGACCAGGTGGAAGGGGGGCAGTCAGAGATTGGCTGACCATGTAGAGCAAGTATTGCTTACTGAATTAGTTGTGCAGGAAAGGGACATCTGTCTGGTGGGAGCCCCTGGGAAGACAGTCCTGTCCATGTCTTCACAGGGGTCATGTACCCCAACCTTACCTCACTACAGCCTGCTAATGTCCCCACCCCAACTCTGTTTCTGTTGCAGTTTCTAGGGAGATTCGAGACCCTCATTTTCTACTGGCCCTCACTGTTGTGCCTGGGTTTTCTGCTCTGTCGCTTCCTGTACATGTTCCTTAAGGCTCTGCCAATCCACTTGGGCCTGGAGCCACAGGCAGTGAGTGCCAAATTTAGGTGGTTCCTGAAGAGTTGTCCTCATCTTGAGACCAAATCCTGGCCTCCATGGGCAATGACCCCTTAAGAGACCAAAGCCTAGCTGGCACTGTGAGCCAGAACATGCCCTGCTTCCTCGCAGGAAGAAAAGTCAGTGCTGGAGGCCCACCAGGCAGAGCATGTGAAGCGGCTCCTGAGGAAGTCCTGCCCACAGTAAGTGCCCCTCTGCCTCTTCAGCCCTGAGGTTTGAGCCAGGCCCTGGGGGTGGGGGTGGGGGGTGGGGACAGACCCTGGGACTGTGGAGAGGCACTGCTGATAGCAGGAACCAACCCAAAGCAGACAAAAGCAGGGAGGGCAATGGGGGACCCAGGACTCTAAAAAGACTTGAGAGGGAGTCTGTTCCAGGGCGCTTAAGAGACAACCTCAGAACTATGTCTTCCTAGTGCCCCCAGCTGTGCTCTTGACTGCCCAGGCTTCACACTGGGTAGGCTTCCTCCACACTACAGTCTTCAGACTTCAAGAGGAAAGAAGACATTTCACTTTCCATTTTTTAAAATAAATCATTTGAGTATATTCCATTGTATCAAATTCCAGCTGAAAAATAATCACTATGTCTAGATGATTGGCCTACAGAGATTGGCTGAGCCCAAGTCACATGCTTCCTGTCACACTTCTTGGGACAGGAAGTAGTGGCAGCCTCACTTAACAAGTAGGATGCAGGGTGGGGATTATTAGCTTTCCACTGGAGCTTCTGAGATAGTCCAGTCCAGCCCACCTCTGCCTCAGCCACCAATTCACACTGGGTGGATCCCAGAAAAGGAATGTATCTTGTCCCAGGTCCCATAGAGACAAAGTTCCTACTGTGGTGAGAGTTGCTTTTGGAACCTATATCAAAATATTTGAAATAACACTGGCATTAACAAAACCCAGATGTATTATTTTCTCATATATAAGAACTCTGAAGGTGAGCAGTCCATAGTGACCCTAGACTGTCCATATTGCTGGCCCACAAGCCACCTGTCTCTGTTCCAGCATCTTAGTATGTGACTTCCTCCTCAGTACTGCCCCGTGGTCCAGTGTGTCTGCTGCAGCTCCAGCCTGGAGCAGCCACTACTCTGCATTTCTTCGTCTGTCTGCCCTCAGACAGACGAAGACAAGGCAGACCAAAAGGGGCTTGTGTCTGTGTCAGTTCCACCTGGGAAGTCTCCCCTAAGCCTCATATCACACCCAGGGTGGCCAGAACCTAGTTAGAACCTTGAGCAGCAAGAGAAGTTGGGGTTTCTGTGGTTTTGTTGTGTTTTTTTATAACTCCAAAAAAATACCTCCATTCTCTGTCCTTAAGGATGAGGGAAGGTGAAGAGGGGTGGAAACTCCCAGTGTCCCTTTTCTGGTGTTCATTCATTCACAGAGAAAGAGAAAAGTCTTGGTTTCAGACCAGGGTGTATGACTGGGACCCCTGCTTCCAGTTCCCCAGCAGGATGATTGGGACGCTCGTGCTAGCATCCATCTGCCTATACCTTGTAAGTAGCACCATGAAAATCCTTTCCTATTCTGTAACAGAGAAGGGTCTGGGTTTCGGTCACCTGGTCTTTGGGAGCAGTGTGTGCTTAATGCTTAGGTCAGAATGGAAATGTGAGTTGAGGAAGAACAGTGCTTCAACCTACCTTTCACCTGCATGTCACCCATGTGGTGACAGTCACAGGAGAGTAATAAATAAAACTAAACCGGTGGTGGCTTACACCTTTAATCCCTGCACACAGTAGACAGAAACAGGTAGATCTCTTAGTTCAAGGATAATCTCTTCTATATAGCTCCAGGGCTTCATAGTGAGACCATGTCTCAAAAAAAAATCCATATGATAAAATTTAGCATTGACAGAGCTGGAGAAATGGCTCAGTGGTTAAGAGCACTAGCTGCTCTTCCAGAGGCCCCAGGTTCAATTCCCAGCAACCACATGGCAGTTCACAACTGTCTGTAACTCCAGTTCCAGGGAATCTAACACACATGCAGGCAAAACACCAATGTACAGAAAGTTAAAATAAATCATTAAAATAAAAGAATTGCTAAAAAAAATTTAGCATTGACTAAGAGTTGAAAAGGAAAACTATGGCAGGTATCATTTGATATGTAAAACTGACCCAGGAAAGATTATAGAAGTAATGATCTCTAAAGAAAATGTGCAATTATAGATAATAAGTTATACTGTGAAGAATTAAGCCATTTAAATATAAAATAATTGATTCTCTTTGTTTTGTTTTCCTCTGAGACAGGGTTTCTCTGTGTAGCTCTGGCTGTCCTGGAACTCACTTTGTAGACCAGGCCTCAAACTCAGAGATCTGCCTGCTTCTGCCTCCTAAGTGATGGGATTAAAGTCGTGTGCCACCACCACTGTCCAGCAGGTAATTAATCCTCAAGAAGATAATTTTAGTAAATTAAAGATAATAATTTTAGTAAATTAAAGATGAAAGTGGGAAATTAGAATAGATTGAAATTTAAATATCTTTCATTTGCTTTTTTCTCAAGAAAATGTTTTCAGTGTTATTATAATTCTCACTTTAGTTTTATCAGATATAAAATCAAAATGCTGGTCATGGTCTAAGTCATTGGAAGTAAAATGGCTGAGTCAAAGACAACTGTAACATGCAGAATTCAGACAGTAAAGCCTAGTTGTCTTTGCTTGTTTTTAAGGCAGGGGGATGATGTATCTTTAAGTCTGTGGTCAAGGTTTTAAGAGAATGCCTTAATTAGGTTATACCGAAGTTCCCATGCCTTTTGTCTTAGATAGGGTTTCCATTGCTATGAAGAAACACCACAGCCATGGCAACTGCTTTTGAAGGAAAACATCTAACTGGGGCTGGCTTACAGTTCCAGAGGTTTAGTTCATTATCATCATGGCAGGAAGCATGACAGCATGCAGCAGGCATGGTGGTGGAAAGGTAGCTAAGAGTTCTACATCTTGATCCACAGGCAACAGGCAGTGAATTAAGACACACTTCCTCCAACAAGGCCACACCTCCTATAGTGCCATTCTTTATGAGCTCATAGGGGCCAATTACATTTAAATTACCACACATTTCTAAATGCCAGTGGCTTGTCACTATGTCTGTTGCCCCAACTCCCACCCCTAACGCTAAGAGCATGTGCAGGTAGGGGAGGCAGCTCTCTGCCTTGCAATCATTAAGGCACCCCAAATCGTCTATCAAGTGCCTCCCCATACCTAGGACCTCAAGGCCACCTAGTTAATAGCATGGAGGGAAAATACCAAAATGCTTGCAGAAGGTTTTCCTGAACGAAGTATAGAAGAACCTGTCTTTTCTGCTTGTTTTCCACTGTCCAAATGGAGTGATGTGGCCACATCTAACAAAAGGAGGCTTGGAAATGCAGTCCAGTTGTATGACCAAAGAAGGGAGAATGATTTTTTAATTAATTAATTTAGTATAGTTGTGTGTATAAATGTATGTGTACCCATCCACATGTATGGAGGCCAAAAATCAACCTTGGGTGTTGCTACTCAGAGTCGTCACTTTTTTTTTTTTGCATGTGTGTATATATGTGTGGTGTATAAGGGTGTGTGAACAGTGCTCGTGCTCCAATGTGTGTGTTTGTGTGTGTTTGTGTGCATGTGGAGGTTAGAGGTTGACATCAGGTGTCTTTCTCAATTGTTTCCATTTATTTCATCAGGCAGGGGCTTCTCCTAAACCTAGAGTTTGGCAATTGAGCTACTCTAGCTAGTCATCTTGTTGTAGGGATCCTTTGGCTCTATTCCCTAGCACTGGGATTGCAGGCGGCTGCCACACCCACCAGGCTTTTATATGGATCTTCATGATTATATTAAAAGTGCTTTATTCCCTGACCCATTTCTCAAGCCACCTCCCCAACCTTGTTTTTTTTGAGACAGGGTCTCCCATTGGGACCTGGAGATCCCTGATTAGGCTTGGCCTGGGCCAGGGGTTGGGGTCGGGTGGGGGCAGTGTCACTGAACTCCTGGGACCTGCCTCTCTCTGCCTTCCCAACTCTGTCTGGGGTTACACAAGCACATGCCACCATGCTGGATTTTTTATGTGGATGCTGAGGATCAGATCCAGGTTCTCATGCTTGCTCTGCAAGCACTTCATCCAGTGAGCTTCAGTCCCCAGAGGATGGATTTAAAAGGGACAGCTGGAGCTCTCTGCAGCACTGAATAACTCACTTGACTTTTGTGTTATGGTGTGTCTTAGGAAGTCATTGAACATCTACTGTATAGTAAGCACTGTATTAAGAGCTAGGAGAGGGCAAAGAGATGATTTAGCAAAGTCCTAGTCCAGGAGAAGCTGTGGGTTCAAGAGGAGTAAGACATGGACAGAGAGAGAGTTCTGCCATTCTATAAGACTTTTTTTTTTTTTTTTTTTTTTTTTCTTTTTGAGACAGGGTTTCTCTGTGTAGTTTTGGAGCCTGTCCTGGAACTTACTTTGTAGACCAGGCTGGTCTCAAACTCACAGCCTGTCTCTGCCTCCCCATTCCAGAAGAGAAAAGGAAATGGTGATGTTCTAAAGTTCAGTGAGTTACTCTGAACTAAGAAACCGATAATGGTGGCATTTGCACTCCACTCTAGAAAACGAACATGATTTGGTTGGTGGAGAAAGAAGGTGATGGCAACCAGAGAAGCAAGGGTGTGGTGGACAGGGCAGAGGACAAGCATTGCTGTCATGTGGACTACCTTCTCCAGTTTGACTCCTGTTAACATTAGGGAGGGGAGCCATGGAGATGTGGCTGGTCTTGGCCCGAGGGTCACCCTTCCATCACGTGATTACATTATCTTTCAAGTGTCCTTTGAGTCATTGTGAGTGAAGAACAAGCTTTGCACAGTCATTTTCAAAAAGAGTTCTGGCTGCCTGGAAAGGCTGGCCTCAAGTCCCAAAGAAATCTGTCCCCAAGCTGAGCTGGTCTTGGGAGACCTTGACGCCTGCCTGTGCTCTGCATTCCCAGTTCATTGTCATCGAGTTCTGTGTGTTTCTACTTGTGAAAGACAAGCTGGATCTGTTTGAAGACAGGCTGCAGAGCTACCTCACCCACATGAACGAGACGGGGACCTCGACCCCTGCCATCCTACAGGTGAAAGAACTGATCAGTGTTACTAAAGGTAAAGCCACCCACTCCCCATCATCCAAACAGCCCTGAGATTGCCTGACCAGGGTGTCTGGATTTCTTTTGTGTTAGAGTTGACCTGTGCCTTCCTGGGTTGACTAGGACGGAAGGCTCAGGACAGCTCATTTTGTTAAAAACCATTTGGAACTGATATGTGACAGTTGTGTAGCTTGGTCTATTTGTGGGACTCCTAGCAATGGGATCAGGGCCTGTCCCTAATGCTTGAGCTGGCTTTTGGGAACCTATTCCTCATACTGGGTTGCCTCGCTCAGCCTTAATACAGAGGGAGGAGCTTAGTCTTACCTCAACTTGATATGCCATGCTTTGCTGACACCCATGGAAGGCCGGCCCCTTTCCGATCAGAAACAGAAGAGGAGTGAAAGGGGAGGGGGCAGACAGGATGTGGGGGTGGGAACAGGAGGAGAAACTTCGGTCAGGATGTAAAATAAGTGAAAAAATGTAATTAATTTAAAAAAGTGAAAAAAAAGAGAGAAGCCATTTGGGGCTGAACTGAACATGCCCATAGAACAGAGGTTCTTCTTAGGGGTTAAACAGCCCTCTCATGGGGTTGCCTAAGAAAACACAGACATTTGCATTATAATTCACAACAGTAGCAAACTTACAGTTATGAAGTAGCAATGAAAATGCTTTTCTGGTTGGGAGGTGACCACACCATGAAAAACCATATAAAAGTGTCACAGTGTTAGGGAGGTTGAAAACCACTGCCTTAGAGTTTCTCATTTTCAGTAGTTGTTTTAGTTTGCTTTCCATTGTGGTGATAAACGACTCTTTCAAAAGCAACCTAAGGGAGACATTTATTCGGGCTCACAGCTAACGGCAGTCCATCACACACAGAAATCATAGCGCAGGAGCTTGAAGCAGTGGGTCACATCGTAACCACTGTCAGGAAGCAGAGAAGCAAGTGTGGTCTGTGTTCAATTCCCTTTCCCCATTCAAACAATGGAAAAGATGCCACCCACAGTGGGTGGGTCTTCCCACCTCAGTGAGTGCAATCCAGATACTCTCCTGCAGACAAGCTGTGGTGGTTTTAATGATCAACACTCACAGGCTCATATATTTGAACATCTGTTCCCAGTCATGTTTTAGAAAGCGTAGGAAGTGTAGCCTTGATAGAGGAGGACTTTGAGAGTTTAAAGTTCCAGTTGTTCTCTCTCCTTCCAGCTTGTTATCGGAAATGTGAGCACTAAGTGGCTGCTACAGCCATCATGCCTGCCTGTTGCGTGCCTCCCACCATGATCGGTAACAGCTGTGAAGTGATTTTTCATTGTGTTTTAATTTGCATCCCCTGAAGATAAATAATGAGCATTTTTTTCTGTATGTGCGTTGGACATTTGTATATCTCCTTTGGAGGACTGTCTAGTGACCCCCCCCACACACACTTTGTAACAAGAAAGGTACTTTATAACAGAAGCTTTCTCAGAAAATGACATACCTAATTATATGTCCTCCATCTCTGGAGAGAGGAGATGTCCACTATCTCCTAGACGAGAAAGAATCATGGACAAGATTTCAGGATAAATGCCCGCTGCGGAGATGACTAAATGACTGTCTTAATCAAAGTTCTATTGCTGTGAAGGGACACCATGATCATGGCACCTCTTATAAAAGAAAACATTTAATTGGACCTGGCTTATAGTTCAGAGGTTTAGTCCACTATCACCATGCAGGAAGCATGGTGGCACACAGGCAAACATGGTGTTGGAGAAGTGGCTGGGAGTTTTATATCTGGGTCCACAGGCAGTAGGAAGAGAGAGAGATATTGGGCCTGGCTTGGGCTTTTGCAACCCCAAAGCCTGCCTCCACAGTGATACACTTTCTCCAACAAGACCTTGCCTACTCCAAGGTCACGACTCCTAATCCCTCCCACGTAGTACCAATCCCTGATGACTAAGCATTCAAACATATGAGCCTATGGGGCTGTTCTCATTCAAACCACCACAGTGAGCAACATGCTTACTGTGCAAGAAGGACAATTCAAGTTCTTACACACACACACACACACACACACACACACAAATGGGTATGATGCTTGTAATCCTAGGACTGGTGAGACAGAGACAGGGAGATCCCTAGGGCTTGCAGGCCAGCGCCCCCAAGCCCTAGGTCCCAATGGGAGACCCTGCCTCAAACAACAACAACAACAACAACAAAACCAATGTGGATAGCTCTTTTTTTTTTTTAAAGATTTTATTTATTTATTATGTATACAATATTCTGCTTCTGTGTATATCTGCACACCAGAAGAGGGCACCGGATCTCATAATGAATGGTTGTGAGCCACCATGTAGTTGCTGGGAATTGAACTCAGGACCTCTGGAAGAGCACTCGGCACTCTTAACCTTTGAGCCATCTCTCCAGTCCCCATGTGGACAGCTCTTGAGGAACAACACTCAAGGCTGACCTCTGCCCTCCCCCATATAAGCACATGTCCTTGCAACTAACTCCTGAAAGTTGTACTCTGGCATGTACACACACACACACACACACACACACACACACACACACACACACATATGTTTGGTCTCATCTGTAAATTGGGACTTAGACAGGCAATATGATAGTTTCCAAAAGATTTTATGGTGCTGATATTTTATGATCCTAACTCACCTAATATCCATGTATTAGTTCCTTTTCTATCAAAGTGATAAAACACCATGACCAAGGCATCTTATAGAGACTTCCTGTGGGCTTATAAGAGTTCCAAGAGGATAAGAGTCCATTGTGGCAGAAAAGCATCAAGCAGGAATTGCAGCTGGAGCAGAACTGAGAATTTGAGAGTCCCCATCTTGAATTGTAAACAAGAGCCTTTAAACTCTCAAAGCCAGCCTGCTGTGACACACCTCCTCCAACAAGGCCTCATCTCCTAAACTTTCCCAAACAGCTCCACCAACTGGGGATCAAGCATTCTAACATCTGACCCTATGGGGAACATTCTCATTCAAACCACCACAATCCCTTAAGTCACAAGACAACCTGTTGTAAGTGATTTTCTTCCCACTAAGACTATGAGCTGGGAGAACACCAAAGCCAGAGGGGACATCTTTGCTATGAATTACTTAATTCAGCTCTATGGTCATATAAAGTTACCTTACAAGTGAACCCTGAGGCAGTAGCCGATCCTTCCATATTTCTGTGCTTTACTGTGGCCTGTGAACATCTTATGAATCTTTAATGTAGATTTATGTTCAGTATGATGGGTCTTTGAGCGCCACACTCAAAGAGCACCTTATATTTCCATTTTAGTGCCACCCATTTTTTAAAGATTTATTTATTTTTTTTTTGTAGGTAGAGTTTTTCATCAGGTCTGCCAGTCAGCTCTGTCCCACCAACTGACTCCCAGAGACTTACTATTTATTATTAATGCTTGGCCAATAACAAAGGCTTGTTACTAACTAGTTCTTACAACTTAACCCATATTTCTACCTATGTCCTACCGTGCGGCTCAGTACTTTATTTCAGTACCGCATGCTCATCTCCTGCTTCCTCTGCATAGCCTCACTACTTCCGAGACTCCCGTGACTCTGCCCTTCTTCCTCCCAGTGTCCTCTCTCCCTGAAAATCCTGCCTAGCTATGGGCCATGAGCACTTTTATTAACCAGTGACATTAACATGTATTTGCAGTGTACAAAGATTGTTCCACAGCAGTTTTTACTTTAGGTGTATGTACACCTGTGCACCTGGTGCCCTCGGGGTCACTCATCTGCCTTTGATTCCTGGCTGCAAATGCTATGGGACTAGCTGCCTCAAGCTACTACCGCTGTGACCTCCCCGCCCTGAGTGACTGTACCTAAGAACTATGAACCAAAATAAAAACTCCCTTCCTTAAACAGCATTTGCCAGGGTATTTTGTTACAGCAACAGAAGAGTAACCAAGACAGAGCCTAACTAACAAAACCCCATGAAAGGTGAATGCTACAACTTGTTGATCCCAGCTATTCATGTGACCAATGTACTCCCACCCTGTCACCTCTCCAAAAGTTGCAATTAGAAGTCAGCTATTTCCTGGATGGAGCCTACTGTTGATACGGATCATATATAGTTTTCCCAACCTTAATTGAGTGTAGTTGGAACATATTAGAATCAAAAGTTTCAGAATACCATGCAGAAACCATCAACTGTCCCGGGGATGTGTGAGGCTAAACCCTGCACATGCTCACTCTCAGAGAACAAGGTGAAGGAGTGTAATAGGTTCGCCTACACCTTTCTGATGAGGATCTGCTGGTGGCAAGTCCACTCCAGGTGTGTTTTCCAAGCCCTCTCATGTCACCCTTCATATTTCAGGAGTCTGGGTGGTGACCATTTTGCCCGCCTCCCTCACGTGTGTCAGCTATCTCTTCCACATTTTGGCCTGTTACAGGTAAGAGAATTCTATGAGTCATTTGTGTGACTTCAGCGGAAAAAAAAAAAAAAAAAATAGCATTCTTTATCCAGAATTCCTGAACAGTACCTGCCTGGCTTAGTGTGGCACTAGGAAGTGAATATAAGGGCCAGGTATGGTCTAATGCATATAAGAAATGTATAAGAAAAATATAAGCCTAACAGTTGGACATCGATGATGACCTACCATTATGCTCAGAGTCCTCATCCCAACTTCACCCCAACCTTGAGAGGTGAGCATTTTCTTCTCAGCGTTTACAGTTATGCTCCAGCACTGAGCCGAGGGACAGGTACTCCTGATACTCGAGACCTTGGCATTTCTTGTGCATTATCATTGCTGGGTGTCAGATCTGTCCTGCTGCTCAGGCTCCCAGCAGAGAAGCTGTGCAGGAAGAGGGCACATGCTTGTGCCCACTCTCTGTCTCTCCGTCTTCCTCTGTCTCTGTACACTTCTTGTACCTTGATAGGCACATCTTTCTTTAGATTAGAGAAATTTTCTTGTATGGTTTTGTTGAAAATATTCTCTGTGCCTTTGACCTGGGTGTCATCTCCCTTTTTTCCTATTGTTAGTAGCTTTGGTCTTTTCATAGTGTCCCAGATCTCCCAAATGATTTTTTCGTGGGAGCTTTTTAGATTTAACATTTTATTTGATCAAGGTGTCAGTGTCTTCCCTGTTGTCTTCCGTGTCTGAGATTGTCTTCCATCTCTCGTGTTCTGTTGGAGAGGCTTGCCTCTGAGGTTCCATGTTTGAGTTCCTAAACTTTTCTTTTCCAGTTCTCCCTCAGTTTGGGTTTTCTTCATTGATTCTGTTTTCACTTTTATGTCTTGAACAGTTTTCTTCACTTCATTCCACAGTTTGTGCTTTCATGGATTTATTCATGTCCTCTTTGAAGTCCTGGATCGTATTTGTAATAGACACATTGAAGTCCTTGTCTTGTGCTTCCTTGTCTTGTGTTTCAACTATACTGGATTTCTCAGGGCCAACTGTAGGGAGGCTACTGGCCTCTACTGGAGACATACTGTCCTGGCTGTTATTGGTTGTGTGTTCATGTTGGCATCTTGGTTTGGGATAACAGTAATTCTATGTGTTAATATCAGGTCTTGTCTTTGTTGGGTGGGTTTCTGATGTCCTCTCTGGATCTTAGTAGAGTGTGGTGGCTGTGGGTTGCCTGGTAGGGAGTGCTTCTGAGTGCCTTCCAGGCCTGACCACTGGGGTTTCCAGTAGAACTTGTTTCTAGGTACTTGGGATGACACGAAGGAATGGAGATGGAAAGAATGGAGATGGACAGAAGGACAGAGGGCTGAGAGCATCTATGGGAGGGAGGAGAACTGGGTCTGCTGTGAGGATCTGAGTCACTGGCTGATGGGAGAGAGTGCCGAGGGTGCTTGTGGCTGAGACTAAGGCATGGGCAATGGGGGAAGGCTATGGGAGAGAATCTGCTCAGTTCCCTGGGAGTGGGGGCCCAGAGATACATTTTTCCTGTCATTCTAAGAATTTCCAGTTTAGCAATCATGAAAAGTAGAACCCAGCCAGGAAAAATACTAGAGATTAAGTATAAAGTATGAAAGAAAGAAAGAGAGAGAGAGAGAGAGAGAGAGAGAGAGAGAGGGAAGGAAGGAAGGAAGGAAGGAAGGAAGGAAGGAAGGAAGGAAGAATCCCATAAATGGAAGTGTGGCCTAGGAGCAGAACACCACCAACCTAACCATCATATATAGCCCAGAAACTGCACAGGGGTGTGGGAAATGGAGGGGTGAGGGATGGGGTTCTATGAGGGGTTGTTGCCCCTTTAATTTGTTTCTTTTAAAAAATGTATTATTAGGCTGGGTGTGGTGGTGCACGCCTTTAATCCCATCACTCAGGAGGCAGAGCTAAGCAGATCTCTGTGAGTTCTAGGCTAGTTTGGGCTACATAGTGAGTTCCAGTACAGTCAGGACTATGTAGAGAGCCTATCTCAAAACACAAACAAACAAATAAAAAACACCCCCATACAACAAAAATGTATTATTATTGTATGTGTGGGTGTGTGTATGATGTGTTTGTGTGGGTACATGTGCCATGGAATGTGTGGAGGTCAGAGAACAGCTTGTGGGAGTTGGCTCTCTCCTTTTACCATGTGAGTCCTGGGAGCTGAACTCAGGTCATTAGGCTCAGCAGCAATGGAGTTAGCCTGCTGAGCCATATCACCCATCTATGATTTTTCTTTATGTTGCTACAAGGTTAAGCTATCAATGAAACTGAGTTTCTGGTATTAACTGTTTAAAAATATTAAATAATATGCATTCACCATAACAGAATAAGTATAGAAAATAGAATGAAAAAACCATGTAATCTCATCTATCAGATTCAATTGCTGTTATGATTTGATCAATATGTATTATTTTTGTGAACTATAGTAACCTTGGAGATGTTGAAGAGAAATCATAACTTCTCCTGGAGCTGCGGTTGACACCAACTGCCATAGGCCTCCACAGGCCTTTCTGTTGAGCTCTGACCCTACAGAAAGTGCCATGACTATGCTACCTACTTTTCCTCTCCCACAGAAAGCACATGAAGAGGCTGTGGGCTGGAGACAAAGACTTCCTCCCTCAGAACTTCCAGAGTCCCTCCTCAGCAGCTAGTGTGGTGAGTCTGTAGGGGAGCTGAGCCACATGACAAGAGCCCAAAGATGTCAAGCCAGGCCTCCATCCCGAGATGTGGCTCTGTGAAGAACCTGCTTTGGTTTATGGGTGACCCTGAGATCAGATGGGGTCCTGGGTACAAGGCTTGGAGGGAAGGAAGCTCTCATCCTACTGAGACCCCTGCTTTCCTTCTAACTGCAGGTGGCCATTGCAAGGTACTCTGGCTGGCAAATAGCCTACATCCTCTGGGGTAAGTGTCACCCCAGGATCCATGTAGCCCAGCACATGTTCCCTGAGCACTCTCTACTGGTGAGGAGAAGGGCTAGAGAAACAGCCATAGCTTCTAGCTTTGAGGAGTCTGGAGAATAGTGGAGAAACACCATGTGTCATCTCTTATCTGCCCTCATCTCAACGGCTGTGTTTGCTAAGGGCATCAACAAGCAGAGGAGGGAGTGGCCTCCATACCAGCAAGGGACTCAAAGGTTTTGAGTTGACACTTGAACCGCATCTGGCAGATTGCTGAGCAAGCAGGAAGATAGGAAATTATGGTAGGCAGAAGAAACAGCTCCAGCCAATGTGCCAAGTGCCTCTGGTGGAACGGGGCATAGGCCAGGTCTGCCTGCAGGGAGGCATATGGGGGTGGGCCAAGAAGGACCCCCTGGTGACCCCCTCTACTTCATCTGCAGGCTACCTCATCATTCATGTGGTGCAGAGCCTCTGTGGTGTGATGCTCATGTACAGCCTAGTGCTACCCATTCTCCACCATCAAGGCCTGGAGATGCTGCGAGGGCTGGGCCTTGGGGTGTAAGTTCTGAGTAGACAACCTCTCCTTATTGGTCCTGGGGACCCAGACCCTGGGTCCAAGGTCTTGTTCTGATGACCCAGGGATGGGTCATCACAGCACCTCCCAGCGAGGGAATCTATGTTTTCAAGTCTTCTCCCGTCATTCCATGGGACTTCACATTCATGTTCATGATACAGAGAATTCCATTTCCCAACAAGGAAATAAGTTGTAAGGGGATGAAGCGAGAGGTGGGACAGCAGGGAGGAACCATGCACGGGTAAGGTAGCTGATGCGTTATATTGCCCGGTGCAAAATTTCTACCCTACCCAGCTCTCTGGAGACTGTGAAAGGCTGATTGCTGAGCACTTGCCAAGCCCCTTCCTCATGACAGCCCTGAGAGTTTGATGCCACCAGGAGACAAGTGTTAGAAGGGTTGGAGCTATGCTCAAGGAGAAGGCCAGGCTGAAGCCCAGGCTCCCCATACTGCCACCCACGTCAGTTCAGCTGGAGGACTCCTCGGCTCTTTGCCTGGAGCCGAGTGCACCTGCAGTGCTGCCTATCCACTCCATGGCATGTTCTCAAGCTTATTCTTTGCTTTCCTTTTCAGTGTGAAAGGATTGCATGTACTTGGCTGTGCTGTTCTGAGGGCTGCCACTCCACTGCCACCCTTAGCAAAAAGGGACACAACAGGGAACCATGGGTAGTGATCTGGATCTAGAGAGTCAGCATGTGGTCTTGGGGGGAGGTCACCATCCCTTTGTGGGTCTTTATTTCTTTTGCACAGGAGTTGCTCTTCTGCTGCTCATCAGGGGTGCTTGCTGTCTCCCCCCCTCTTCATCTTTCCCTCTCTCTGTCTCTATCTTTCTCTCTGTCTCTATTTCTTTATCTGTCTCTCTGTCTTTCTCTGTGTGTCTCTGTGTGTGTCTGTCTCTCTTGTGTCTGTGTCTGTCTCTCTCTTCCTCTCTCTCCACTCACTGTGTATCAGAGAAGGACCTGGGACAGTAGCACAGACACTTCAGGGTGGACCTGCCCTGTGTTTCAGCCTCACCCTATCCATAGTCGTGGGCCTCATGATCCTGCAGGTGTGGATCGCTGGCAGATTTTTCCTGCAGCCCAAGCTGAGCACGGCTGACAAGCAGAAGCCCCTGGCTCTCCACAACAGGTGAGGGCAGAGGAGGGCAGTGGGTATGTAGGGCTGTGGCTGCTGCTTCCACCTTCTACCTAGTGGTGCACGGGTTCTGGAGGGCTCTGAATTCTGTGAGAGGTTACTACAATGTGCACAGAGGGAGGCTCTGGGACCACATGACCTGGGATCCAGAGTTGCCTTTTCCGGTGGTAGGAGAGCTGTGTGACCTTGTACGACTTCACTAAATGTGTGAACTTCAGTTTCCCCATTTGTAAGCTATTTTGCATTAAAGGGGTGTTTTAAGGAAGACACATGTAAAATATGAACAGTACAGCCAAGTACATGTAATTCTCATCCATTCATTCACTGAGGCAGCCTTAGCACTGACAATAAAGAGATAGATATCCCCACTTGACACCTCTAAGAGCTTCATCGGTTACCAGAGAGGACTGGCACCTGGGTAAGGGACAAGGATTCCTGAGTGATCTAAAGAAGAGGAGGAGGGGGTGGGGGGCAGAGTCTGGGAGGAGGGGAGAGGCCAGAGATGAGGAGAGAGGAGGAACTGGCGTGGATGACAGTAAGATATAAACTGTATGAGCTGGGAGAATAGTGAGATACCCAAATGTCCACCATACAGAGTGACAAGACCAAAAAGTCCTCTGTCAGAGGAGTCTGTGACTTTCAGGATGCAGTTTGGCCCTGAGCAACAGGACCATGTGGTCAGGTGATCCTTTGGGACCTTCCCTCTGGAGGACCAGGAACAGGTCTGACAAGGGTGAACCACAATATTGTTGCAACCCTCAAGCCAGCCCCAAGAAGCCTCATGCAAGAATCCTAAGGTCACACAAAGTAAGTAGCACTCACCCTGCTCTTTGCTCAGTGCTCCCTATCCCCCATCAGGACCACATGTACCCTCCAGCACTGTGAGCTAGGCACTCAGCTACACTTATGTCCCAGCAGGAGATCGTAAACTTAGGAGAATGTCTCAGAATTTAATGTCTGGTCTGGATGAAGCCAGAGCAGACTGTGTCACCGCCTTGCCTGACTATGGGGCTGTCTCGTGCTTGCTTCTATCTGTAGGAGAGCATTCCACAACTTCAACTACTTCCTGTTTTTCTACAATGTGCTGCTGGGCCTGGGCGCCTGCCTCTCCAGGCTGCTCATCAGCTGCTTCCTGGGCACATGGCTGATTGCACGCATTGACAGAACCATCATGCAGAGCGGCTACGAGGGGGTAGACATGGGTAAGTGATGGGTCTACATGGATATGATATGAGTTTATTGACGTTTACAAAGTGGAGTCAGAGATAGGTTGATAAACAGTAGTTTAATGGGGAAAAGTACTCATGCAAGGAAGCCAGTGACCAGGTTTGTACCTCAGCAGGAGGGACCCACAAAATGCTTCCTAGTCAGCTCAGCCAGATGAAAAAGAGCCTTGTGCTTGCCTCCCCCCTTCTTAAACTCTTGTTAATCACGCCTGGGCCTGGTCAGCGGCACCTTTAATCAGGGTTTCTCCCTACATGAGTTCACACCTTCACAGGCCTAGAACTTGTCTTCTGGTAGAGGTCATAAAGCCAAGTAATGGAAACATGCATTCTGGGCTGGGGTGATGGCTCAGTCCTTAAAGGGCTTACTGTGCAAGCTTAACGACCTGAGTTTGATCCCCACAACCTATGCAAAAAGCCATTCAAGGCATGATCTGCCTATAATCCCAGTACTGGGGTTGTGGAGGAAGGAGGATCCTTGGGCTGACTGGACAGAAGCCTAGCCTAGTCGGTGAGCCCCAGATTCGGGTGAAAGACCTCTTCTTTCCTGTATACACATGAACACACACAAGAAATGTGTATTCTGGTGGTCAGAGGAAATTCATGGTTCCTTAATCCTGCCCATTCCACAGGCCATTGAGATGTGGGACAGGAGACTCAAACTTTCCACATAGACTGGAGATGAGACAAATCTCAGAATGATTAGTATTGTCACTTAAACATTTAGTGAAGAATATATCTAGTTTAATATACTCTAAAATCAAAGCTGTTCCCGAGGAAGTAGGAAGTAAAATTAGTGCTTCTGGCCCCTGGGCCTGGTCATTCATTCGCTCTGCTGTTTACAATCTGCACTGGCACCTTCTGTCTTATCTTGGCTGCTCTCAGCCCCTTCAAGCTTCAAGTTCTCTATCAAATGCACAGAGTAGAATATTCTCTCTGAAATCCTTCCAAATCTTTACACTGACTCTGCAGATTCTCTGTAAGAACTCAGACCACTAGGTAAAAAGAAAATGACTAGCAGTTATCCAGGACAGGAGGGGTAGAGGCAGGTAGATCTTTCTCTGTGAGTTCAAGGCCAGCCTGGTATACACAGTGACTTCCAGCCAGGGATACATAGGGAAATGGTTCCAATAATAATAGTAATAATAATAATAATAATAATAATAATAATAATAATCAATAGCATCATAAAAAGTACAACTGGGCAATGATGGGGTGTGTGGCTGGACCTGACCTGCTTTCACCTGGGTTTTCAGGCTTCAATGCATGGGTTGGCATGCTCTTTGTGGACCATTATCACACCAACCCTGTGCTGGTCAGCTTTTGCCACATCCTAATCACAAGCCACAGGGACCGGAAGCTGCAGAAGATCACGAAATACTGGTACCTGAACCAGTCAGCAGGTAGTCTCTCCTATTTGAACCTGCACTGAGTTCAGAGTGGGAAATGGATACCCAAGGGCTTCCTCAAGGTGCCCAATCCCCTTATTGCTCCCCCTTCTCTGCATCCCTTTGGGACAAGCTGCTCAGGAGGTACAGCTCCCGTCAGTCAAGCTGCATGGCCTTGGGCTGCAGACTAGCTCACCTGCCTATTCCAGAACTGAGCCCCAGTTCTCCTAGCACAGTTAATCTGTATCCCATTGTCTTGGGATGCCAAGGTACATCTCAAGCTACTGGCAGATGCCATTTCAAAAATAGAGCTCAGCTTTGATTACTTTAGCCTGTTGCTTACAGAAAGTGTTCTGAGTTCCTCCTGCCCCTTAAGGGCTCAGATATCCTCACTAACATTCCCTACAGGTCTGTGGGATAACCCTTCTACTTCTCATTCCCAGGAGTCCTGATCCAAAGCCTCCAGTCACTCCTTTTGCATTGTAGGTAACAGCTCCAAAAGTTTGAGAATAGCAAAGGCAACACACCCCAAACCCACCCACACCCCTACCCCTGCTCTTTCTGATTCTGTCCTAGGTCCCCGATTCTCAGCCAGAGCCCAAACGAGGTGGCTCTTGCTGCAGACGCTGATCAACAACCCCAGGCTCATCACGCTTAGAAAATCAAAATCAGGCCATGGTTTCCGAGAGTTGACACAGATTCTGCCAACTTGCTCAGATTGCTGATTGGGCCACCAACTTCTGCTCCAAGGCTATGTGATCTGCTGTGTGAGCAGGGTGCAGGTGCTAGAAGATGGTGACACTCATTCAAAAGACATTAGTGCCAGGCTGTGAGGCGTAGGCATTGTCTTTCGCAGAGCCCAGCACTTACCCAAATCTTCACACTCAAAAATGGCCCAGGACAGACACAGCCTGACTGCTGACAGTCCCTCATGTACCTGGACAACTGCTGTGAGGACCCAAAGTCTCAGAGTGCTTGCACCTGGTTGCTGTGTACACTTGATCCTATTGAGGCACATGCTAGGGTCCTCTCTTCTAGCTGAATCTCTGCAACAGCTCTTTGACAATTTGATTCTAGAAGCTGAGAAAATGGAGCACAACACACACACACACACACACACACACACACACACACACACACCTTTCTCCCTCTGGCTAAATGACTTTGTCTCTATTCACAGATACCCATATTTACAAAGGGGGGGGCAACACCCCCTCCAGGTATTATCTTGAAAATAAAATTATCAAAGCACACAGGCACCTTTAAATGTGTGCCCAACACCCTAAACTCTCAACGGCAGAGATCTGACTTCGGTTGTCTCTATGATTTGAGTGTAGGCAGTGCCTCCCAAACGCCCAGGTACCTGTTGGCCTTGGTCCCTGGGACAGCACCAAGCAGAGGTGTGGGACCTTTGGGGAGTGGAGCTTGTAGGAGGTCCTTAAGTCACTGGAGGTGTGACCTTGAAGGGTATCATCGGACCCCGGCCTCTATGTTTCTTCCTGATGGGATGAGTATTTTTGCTCACTCATCATTTCTACCATGATATTCTCCTTAGAAGCCCAAATCCATGGGCCATTGCATCATAGACTGCAGCCTCCAAAACCATGAGCCCAAATAAACCCTTTCTCTTCACACTTTCACTGTCTCAGGTATTTTGTTGTAGTAACAACAGATCTCATGTCACAGAAAAAATCCAAGTGTGTGTGTGTGTGTGTGTGTGTGTGTGTGTGTGTGTGTATCTGTCTGTCTGTCTGTGTTCCATATTACTCATCAGGAAAATGAAAATTGAAACCATGATGCTACACCACCACATAAGGGCTAGGCTGAAGTCCAGTGACACTACCAAGTGTGGGTGAGGAGACAGACCACTAGGCACACACTGTGGTGTGTGTGAACTGTTACCACTTTTAGAACCTTTGGTAGAATTTGCTAAGATGGACAAGCACATACTCTATGACACAGAAATTCTAATATTAATTATATGCTAAGTAGAAATGGCTGTGTATGCTCTCTATACAGAAGAATGGTTAGAGCAGTGATTTGAATACATTCCCAAACTGTAGAGAATGGAGTATGCCCTGAGTGAGTGAAGTCCTGAATGAATGTGTGCTGTCGATATAAGACCCCACCCTACAGCCTCAGGCTCAAAGGGATTTAAACTTTCCTTGGGGGGCCGAGTGTTGACAGTGTGCAAAGAAAATGTTCACAATAGCATTCTCCCTCCAGATGTTTACAGTCAGAAGCCTGCTCTCCTACAGAGGTTGCTCCTACTGGGATTAGCTAAACCTGTCTCCTTGATCCAGTGCATACCATAAACTATGCGTCCTTGTTTGTCTGCATGCAATAACCCCGCCTCTCTCCTTAACTCTATGCAACAAACAAGCCAAGCTTCTGGAGTGCTATTGTTTCTCCATCTGAGAACCCAGACAACCACACACCTCTCTGTCCATGTGTTGGGCTGTCTATCATTGTTTTTATTCCCTTGTGTGCTCCATCAGGTTGAGTCCCCGAGCCAAGGAAGGACACAGCTTCAAATTGAAACTGAAAACACTCAATGTGCATTGAAAATATAACATAAATAAAGCGACTATTATAACATAAATAAAGCGGCTATATTTCTAATAATAGAATACTAACAGAAATGAACTATAAGCACATTCTTTTTATGGTGAGAGAGGGTCTTTTAAATATATTTTTTCATTTATTCTTTGACAGTTTCATATATGTGTATCTGTGTCCACCCTCTCTTTCCCTTTTCTCTCAGACACTCCCCCAACACCTCTCTCCCTTCTGCCTTCATGTCTGTTCCTGTTTGCATTCTGTTGCTGTGATAAAACATTCTGATCAAAGTAACTTAGGAAGGAAAGTGTTTATTTCTGTTTACATTTCCAGGTCAAAGTATATCACCATGGGAAGTCAGGGTAGGAACTCTACAATTCTCCACAGTTGAGGTGAACATGTGATTCCTCCTTTAAGTCCATTTATATAATTTATAACATTTATCAATTTACTTAGATTGAGCCATCCCTGTGTCTTTGGAATATAAGCAACTTGATTTTGGTGAATGTTCTTTTTGATGTATTCTGGAATTCTGTTTGCAAGTATTTTCTTGAGAACTTTTGAACCTATGTTCACTGGGGAGATTATTCTGCAACTCTTTCTTTCTTTCTCTCTTTCTTTTTTCTTTCTCCCTTTCTTTTTCTTCTTCCTTCGTTCCTTTCTTTCTTTTTGTTGCTTCTTTACCCAGCTTTGGAATCTAGATAATACTAGCTTCATTAAAAGAGGTTAACAAAAGTCTTTACGTTTCTATTTGATGGAATAATTTGATGGAAAAGATTGATGCTAGTTTTGCTGCGAAGGTAAAATTCACCAGTGGTTCAATATGCCCTGGGATTTTCTTTAGTTGGGAGGTTTTAAATCAATGCTTCAATCTCACTGCTTATTCTAGATTATGTGTTACCATGGCCAGCTCCCTGTAGCTCTAACTTTGAAGAACTACAGTAGAAACTGCCCAGGCACCGGCAAACTTCTGATGCCTGAAACTCAAGCAAGCACCCTTTCCTCAGATGAGAGAAAGAGCAGAGACTGAAAAATAAACAAATAGCAAACCATCGACTAGAGTCTGAAAACAAAGTGTTAAAAAAAAATATGTTTTTTGCCAGGTGGTGATGGAGAGTGCCTTTAATCCCAGCACTCAGGAGGCAGAGGCAGGCAGATCTCTGTGAGTTCAAGGCCAGCTTGGTATACAGAGAGAGTTCCAGGACGGCCAGGACTGTTACACAGAGAAATCCTGTCTCAAAAAACCAAAACCAAATAAATAAATAAAATAAAAATTACGTTTTTCATCTATTCCCTGGGTCACTTACATGCTTTCTTTTCAGCTGAAATGAATCCAAGTTTTCTTTTATTTCACCCTGGATCAAAGAATGAGAATAAAAGGGGTTTGTATTCACTGCTTCCTCATTCACCTGCGTCAAAGAAGAATCGTGTTTTCTAGTCATCACCTTTTGCATTTCTGAAGCTGCAGCCAGTCACCTTGGGAAGGACTTGCCAGCTGTCTGACCCTGCCACCTTGGGGCTTCTCTGGAAAGGAGCTGAGTGGCCCACAGTACACGAGAAACTCTAGGTTGTGTCTGGTGTGCTCCTCATTCTGGCCAGGCAGGTCTTGAGCCTTGACTTCTGGGCCCGCCAACCTCTTTTGAACTGGGCAAGATTTGATCTCTTTCAGATTCTTACAGGCAAGGACCACTTTGTGCTACCCACCCATGCACAGGTTGTTTTGACTAAAGAGACTGAATTCCTTGACCACAACAGCCAAGATCTGCGCGGGCTCTCTGATCTCTTACTAGCTTTGGGAACATTTAAGGGCGCTCCAAGAATCCAACATTGAAAGTCGTGGTTGAGTTTCAGTGCTCCACGTGGGCTGCTGCTGTTGCTGAGTAGCTTGGCTCCGGGAGAAAGGAAGTGTGGGCAGGGCCAGCTCCGCCCCTCGCGTTGCCTAGGAGACCGTCAGCGTCTTGCCGCAGTTGCTGCTGGAGGTCCAGGCGAATCTGAGCTTCAGGTGCGGGAGCAGCCATCCTTGGGTCAGGGCCTCTCTCCAGATCGCTGGGCCTGTAGGGCAGCGGGATGATTGCACAGGAAGGAGGGCGGGTCGCACACCGTAGGCGTCTAATTAGCAGAATCAAATCCTCCCCTTCCCGCCACTCCCGGTTTCTCCCGGAGGATGTGGCTGGGCTTCCAGTCCCATCTGACACCTTGGGCGGATTGATTGACTGTCCCCAGAAGAGCTCCGGTGGAGCGCAGACAATAATCCTGCCCTTTCCAGAAAGTGCCTGTGGGATTTACACCCTGTGCACTGGGAGAACCCACGTGAACAGGGCTTCTCTGAAGAAGTTTGTCTCTTCTGTTTCTTTCTCTTTCTCTCCCCTCCTCCCACTTCCTTTGTTTTTTTCTTTGAATTCAAGTTTACCCCGGTGTCCTGTGGAATCTAGTGCTGTCTTAGGGCCCGAGTTCCCCGCAAGCACCTGAACTTGAGGGAGGACATCAGTTCCCAACCTCGGAGTGGACACTGAGATCAAGTCCAGGACGAAGGGGAATCCCTCCAGCAGCCAAGATGTCGCCAGTGGGGAAGGTGTCCCAGGTAGAAAATGGAAAAGTCTACCAGCAGATCTTCCAGGCCCAGGTAGGCTCCCTGCTGTCCATGGCTCCCCTTCCCTCTGCTCTCGTCTAACTTTCCTGTTCTCTCCTAATTCTCTTTGTTCTGTGAGATTTCCTGTCTTTATTTATTTAATATTTTACTGACAGTAGATTTTTAAAACTACAATATATTTTGATCGCGGTTTCCCTCCCTTATCTACTCCCAAATCTGATCCGTAGTAGTTGTTGTTTTCTCTTACAGCGAGGGAGGGGGGCGTCCACCTCCCAGCTACCAAATAAATCACTTGGAGTCTTAGTCTTTCTTTTAAATACCCGTCCTTAGCGTGGCTTGTTTCTTGCCAGCTTTTCTTTTCTTTCTTCTTCTTTTTTTTTTTTAAAAAGAATTTATTTATTGTGTATACAACATTCTGCTTCCATATATATCTGCACACCAGAATGGGGCACCAGATCTCATAACATATATATCTGTACACCAGAAGAGGGCACCAGATCTCATAACAGATGGTTGTGAGCCACCATGTGGTTGCTGGAAATTGAACTCAGGACCTCTGGAAGAGCAGTCAGTGCTCTTAACCTCTGAGCCATCTCTCCAGCCCTTGCCAACTTTTCTTAAATTATCCTGTCTATCCTTGGCCTCTAGGCTTTTACGTTTCTCTATTTCTGTGTGTCTTTCTTAATTTCTTACTCTGTGGCTTGCTTGGGTAGCTGGGTGGCTGGTCCCCGGAGTCCTCCTCCTTATCCTGCTCCTCAATCTGTTCCTCCCAGAGTTCTCCTCCTATTTACTCTCTCTGCCTGCCAGCCCCAACTATCCTTTCTCCTGCCTTGCTATTGGCTGTTCAGCTCTTTATTAGACCAGTCAGGTATTTTAGACAGGCAAAGTATCACAGTTTCACAGAGTTAAACAAATGCAACATGAAAGAATGCAACACATCTTTGGATCATTAAACAAATGTTCCACAGTATAAATAAATGTAACACATCTTAAAATAATCTTCCCCATAGACCTACATTTTAAAAAGTAGAGCTTTGATACTACTTTGTTTTTTAAAAAATAATTGCTATTGAGTATTACCGTGTACAAATAGAACATCAGTATATTTATTCTTAAAAATTAATTTCAATAAAAATTTCAATCAAAATTATTCAGAATTAGTCTGAATTAGACATTCTGTGCTTGGGTCTTTTTGTCAAGAATAAAAGCAATTCATATTTTTTTTGTTTAAAAAGTGGGTCATGCCTTAAGTCCCAGCACTTAGGAGACAGAGGCAGGTGTATCTCTGAGTTTGAGGCCAGCCTGGTCTACACAGCAAGTTCTAGGACAGCTAGGGCTACATGTTCTGACCCTGTCTCAAAACAACAACAATAATAAACAAGTGGGGTAGTCACACACCTCCCTGGGTGCCCAGTGGTCCCCTCCATCGAGGACTTGCCTTACAATATTAAAGGCTTCATTGGCTATGTCTGTTATAAAGACTGCCAAAGACTGTCTTCTTGAATGTAGCTTACAGATCAGAGAACTTAAAAGAAATCCATGAGCCCCAAACCTATTATTCTGCTTATTTACGTAGGATTTTTATTCCTATTTTGAGCCATAAATCATGCTGTCTGTATAACCTTTAGAAACAGTGAAAGCATCAAGAAAGCAGATAACTTATTACTCACATGATTTAGCTCCTTAGAAGTGAGTTATTATTCTTAACCTTCAGCACGCTGTTTCCCCATGTGTTTTAAAATTCTAACCCACACTATAATTTGGGTTATATATTTTTTTAAAGCAAAATGCTAGGTTTGTTGAATGTATTGAAAGGGAGAGCAGATCTGTAGGTATTCAGAGTGTCACCTGCCTATAATTTTTAATTTATGCTTTAGGAAGAGATTTATACTTGTGTGTGTGTGTGTGTGTGTGTGTGTGTGTGTGTGTGTGTCTGTCTGTCTGTCTGTCTGTCTGTCTGTCTGTCTGTTTGTGTTTTGACTATGTATATGCATGCCTGGTGTTGTTGGCGGCCAGCAAGGAGTGCTGGAGTTATGGGTGGTTGTAAGCCACCAAGAGGGTGCTGAAAATGGATCTCTGGTCCTCTGTAAGAACAGCAAGTGCTATTGCAGAGCCATCTCTTCAGCCCCATAATTTATGCTTTAATTTATATGTCCAATTACACATTATCTCATAACGATTTCCTTGTCATAAGAAATTTGTTAAGAATCACATGACTGGATAGTTCTGTTTTTTATCATTTTTTTATTTGAATTAGAAACAAGATTGATTTACATGACAATCCCAGTTCCCTTCTCCCACCCATCCTCCCCTACTACTGCCCCCAACTAAAACCCTATCACATACCCTTTCTTCTATTCTTCCCCTGACTCAACCTTTCTGCTCCCTCATGACCTCTGCATCCTTCCTCTTCTCCCCTTCTCATTCTCCTAGCTCCCTCCCTCCTCGTCCCATGCTCTCAATTTGCTCAGGGGATCCTGACCCTTTCCCTTTCTCCAGGGGACAATGTTTGTCTCTTTTAGGGTCCTCCTTGTTTACTAGTTTCTCTGGCAGTGTGGATTGTAGGCTGGTAATCCTTTACTCTATGTCTAAAATCCGCATATGAGTGAGTACATACCATGTTTGTCTTTTTGTGATTGGGTTACCTCGCTCAGAATGGTTTCTTTGAGTTCCATCCATTTTCCTGCAAATTTCAAGATTCCATTGTTTTTTTTCCACTGAATTGTACTCCACTGTGTAAATGTACCACATTTTCTCTATCCATTCTTCCATTGAGGGGCATCTAGGCTGCTTCCAGGTTCTGGCTAATACAAATAGTGCTGCTATGAACATCATTGAACAGATGTCCTTATTGTATGAATGTGCTTCTTTTGCGTATATGCCTAGGAGTGGAATTGCTGGATCTTGTGGTAGACTG